TGACATCTGATGAGGGGGGGGGGTGTTCCACAGGGCAGGCGCCACGACCGAGAAGGCCCTCAGCCTGCACACCAGATGGAGCTGGTAAACAGTTGCCCTGGACACAGAATTGACCTGTGCCTCCATGGACAGCTGTGAGTCCAAAATGACTCCAGGCTGCATACCTGCTCCTTCAGGGGTACAGTTGCCCCGCTCAGGATCAGGGAGTCCTCCACACCCCCCCCCGCCCCCATCCCCCCAAAACAGTACTTCTGTCTTGTCAGGATTCAACCTCAATCTGTTAGACGCCATCCATCCTCCAACCGCCTCCAGGCACTCACACAGGGCCTTCACTGGTTCCGATTTGAAAGAGAGGTAGAGCTGGGTATCATCCGCATACTGATGAACACCCAGCCCCTGTTGATCTCTCCCAGCGGCTGCATGTAGATGTTAAAAAGCATGGAGGAGAGGTCAGAACCCTGAGGCACCTCAGTCAGTAAATTAAAAGGAAAATGACATTTTGCCTCTTTGTCTCTGGCTCCCTCTACTGTTGAACTTCCGCCCAATCAGTCTCAATAGGCACCTGCTTCCATGGCAGGTAAGTGCACCTCAGTGTAAGCTTGGGGAAGGGCAAATTTGACACGGGGCGTCCACTTTCAGCAGTGACCTCACACTGCGCATAACATTGTCGTTCAGCCCTTCGCCAGCTATAACTGAAGCAGCTGTGAGGGATGAGGAAGACACTGGTGCTGGAATGGGGGCAGTGTTTGTAAGAGCATCCATACAGATGAAAGCACAACCTCTGGGTTGATTGATGCTGGCATCAGTATTAAGTAAAACCCGTAGTCTCTTGCTAACAAAAACATTGATGTAGGGATGGAGAATTGGGTATTAAAGTGGAAAAATAAGGGCCTCAGAAATATCCAGGCTTGTGGAAGATGGGATGCTGTCACAAGTGCTTGCGTTCAGAGTTACGATTTCCAGTGGCTTTGGTACATCTTACTACTTCCACTTAAATTCCCATTGTTCATGTGCTGCCTTAGCACCCTGTCACTTTGTATTATCGAGAGCATTATAGGTCAAGACCAGCCATCTTGTATGTTGAAAATTCCGTGTTAGAATAGCTAGTCCCACGACATGTTTTTATATTTTAAGTTCTGGCGATTAATGGATTTGGTGTAGGTTTTCGTTCAGTCTTCATTTGGTGGGGGGTCGGGAGAACCATGTACTGTATAATGAGATAAGACTCCAATGTCTCTATTCAGACCAGGTCTCTCCATGGTTTTAATTCAGCAACTTCTCTTTCCAGTCCATTTCTGAAATTCTTTTGTAATAAGGCAGCTACTTTTTACTATGTTAGTTGCTTTTCTTAAAAGCTAACTCAAAGTGACCTACATTAAAATCAGTTAAAAACAACAACGAAAACTTTAAAAAAAGAAAGTCAAATGAAGGACTGAAAACACAGTTAAACCAAAAGGCAGGGCTGCAAGTCTTGCCCTGCTAAAAGAGGCCACCATGCCATCCTTCAAATTAAGCGCTAAGAGGCTGGGCGAAAAGAAAAGCCTTTGCCTGGTGCCTGAGACTGGACAAAGATGGCTCCAGGTGTACCTCCCCATGGAGAGTTTTCACAAGGAGGAGACCATCACGGAAAAATCCCCCCTTTTTGTTGCCATCCTCCAAACCTCACATGAAGGGGGAACATGAAGAGGGGCCTCCACAGGGTCTAGGTTGGTTCATGTGGGGAGACACTGTCCTTGCAGATAAGGCTTTATAGGTAAAAACTAGTGCCAGAATTGGTGTTAATATGTTCCAACTATCCTGCCTCAGTCCATAAAATGTCAGCTGCAGTTTCCATACTGTCTTCAAAGGCAGCTCAACATGTAAATGCCTTGCAGTAGTCTAGCCTAGACATTACCAGAGCATGGACAGCAGAGGTTAGGCTTCTTCTGTCCACGTAGGGCAGGGGTCAGCAAACTTTTTCAGCGGGGGGCCGGTCCACTGTCCCTCAGACCTTGTGGGGGGCCGGACTATATTTTGAGAAAAAAATGAACGGATTCCTGTGCCCCACAAATAACCCAGAGATGCATTTTAAATAAAAGGACACATTCTACTCATGTAAAAATGCCCTGATTCACAGACTGTCCACGGACCGGATTGAGAAGGCGATTGGGCTGAATCCAGCCCCTGGGCCTTAGTTTGCCTGCCCATGACGTAGGGGCACAGCTGGAGCCACAAGTCGGAGCCACTGAGGTCACTTGAATCTGGATCCTACAAGCTACGTACCTGCTCCTTCGGGAGGAGTGTAACCCCATCTTGAGCAGGCTGCCTCCCATCCATCTGGTCTAGGGAGCCATCAGCACCCCTTAAGCTTTTGTTGATTGGCTCTTCAACTTCTTCCACAGCAACTTCTTGCAGTGAGGTGGTTGTTTCAGAGCTTCAAAGTCTTCCAGCTTTTGGATGGGAAATCGTTAAAGATAATAGAAATGCTTCATATACTGGGATGCTCCCTGTTTTTCATTGTGTGCAGTGGTGTAGTGGTTAAGAGCGGTAGTCTCGTAATCTGGTGAACCAGGTTCGCGTCTCCGCTCCTCCACATGCAGCTGCTGGGTGACCTTGGGTCAGTCACACTTCTCTGAGGTCTCTCAGCTCCACTCACCTCACAGAGTGTTTGTTGTGGAGGAGGAAGGGGAAGGAGAATGGTAGCCGCTTTGAGACTCCTTCGGGTAGTGATAAAGCGGGATATCAAATCCAAACTCCTCCTCCTCCTCCTCCTCTTCCTCTTCTTCTTCTTCTTCTTCTTGTATAGCATAATAAAAATTGTAACGCAGATGTTTAAGAAACGTGAGCGTTATAGCTATGTCATTTCTAATATCCCTCTCTTCACTTTTGAGATATGTGTGATGTATATATGTGAAATATGTACATATTTATGTGTCTCTTTGGTTTCCTTTGTATGGGTTCAGTTCTCTCCCCCCCCCATTTTGCTGGCATTGGCTCACAACCTTTTCTGAGGTCATTTCATAGCTTTAAGTCAGGGAAGACCTTTTGAAATCCCTGAATTCATTTAAAGCCTAACGTGTTATTGTGGGAGTATATTTAGTACAAATGTGCCAATTATTTTTAGTGTTAAATGGTGTTTCCCTCCCAGTAATTCCTCTGAAGGGACAAGCTGGCATTCTTTTCGTTAATTTGATGTTATTTTTGTGGTTAGTGCTTAATAGCTATTTCTTGATACCAGCAGGCAAGCAGGCAAGGGGAAAAAATTGCCGGAAGAGTTGCTTGGAAATAGTTTTAAAGCCCTTGGATTTTTGAAAAAGCCCAGCCCACTCAGCAAAACTCATTGGGTTAAACAAATGCTTCCTTACTATTGTATCATTTATGCCAGGATAGAAAAGAATTGAAAACTTACTTTTATCTTCACATAGGGTTGGCCTAAGGCATCTTGCTGTCTGAGGCAGAAAGGCAAAATATGTCCAAGACTGTTCAGGTTATTATGATACCTGAGGTATCATGACTTTAAAAATATGATGATGTTTATTATACAGTGGTACCTCGGGTTAAGTACTTAATTCGTTCCAGAGGTCCGTACTTAACCTGAAACTGTTCTTAACCTGAAGCACCACTTTAGCTAATGGGGCCTCCTGTTGCTGCTGCGTCGCCAGAGCACGATTTCTGTTCTCATCCTGAAGCAAAGTTCTTAACCTGAAGCACAATTTCTGGGTTAGCGGAGTCTGTAACCTGAAGCGTATGTAACCCGAGGTACCACTGTAATAATGATTGATTGCATGTAATTTCATCGTCCTTTTATGACAGTTGAAAATCACCTCAGTCTGCCTAATGGTAGGACCGGCCCTGTGGTGCACCTAGGAGCTCAGTGTGTGGTTGAGGGACCAAACTTGGTCCAGTGAGCATCCCCAGTTGCCATTTACAACTTGCTGCATCCTTCTCCATCACTTAACAGGAGTGCCTCATTTCATATCACTTCTAATTTGTATGCCACCTTTCTATATTACTATGCACAGGCTGGAACTGGTCTGGGACCGAAATAATAAATTCATTCATTCATTACTATGCACAAGGCAGTTTACAGCAACAAAGAACACACATCTTATAATAATTTGACCCAATATAAAAAGTCACCATAAAACATAACTTTAAAATGTAACCACTTATATCAAACAAAGCAATCTTTAATAATCTATTAGAATATAATAGTATTAGAATATAATAGTACCATCTACAGTGGTACCTTGGTAGTTTAATGCCTTAGTTGTTGAACAAATTGGCACCCGAAAGTTGCAAGTGAGTGTTACGGTTTGTGAACATTTTTTGGCAGCTGAACATCCGACGCAGCTTCCATGGCTTCCAATTGGCTGCAGGAAGCTCCTGCAGCCAATTGGAAGCCGTGCCTTGGTTTTCGAACCATTTTTGGGAGTCGAACGGACTCCTGGAATGGATTAAAATTGAGAACCAAGGTACAAGTGTACTCTCAAAGCATCAGCAAATAATTAATCAGAAATCACTCTTCGCAGTTACAATAAGTAACTACTAAATCAGGGGTCTGCAACCCGCGGCTCCGGAGCCGCATGTGGCTCTTTTACACCTTTGCCGCGGCTCCGGGGCAGATACTAGCGAGGGGAGGAGGCGCATTGTGCGCCCTGACACTCCCCACTGTGGTGGGCGCTGTACTGGCTGTGACGTTGCATGGGGGCGGTGCGTGCGTTAGTCACGCACCGTCCCGACGTCACCTTCCCGGTTTTGCGGCTCCCAGTTTTTTTTCCCTTTGGAAACGGGTCCAAGTGGCTCTTTTTGTCTTAAAGGTTGCAGACCCCTGTACTAAATGATCGATAAAAACAACTGCAAGTCACAACACATAAGATGCCACAGTACATACAAAACCACGTAGAAGGATCAAATTGCGAGACAAAAGACACACAACGTGTAAAACTTTTTTAAAAATAAAGGTTTCTTTGAGTTTATGAAGTAAGAGTGAGGCTGTATTTTGTCTTCCCACCTGACAGAGCTCGACAGAGTGCTGGAGTTGAATATGTTGAAAGATACAGACAACTGGAGTCCGATGAACTCGATGCATCAGACAGCAGTTGGCCTCCCTGTGAACCAGGTAAAAATAAATAAATCTTAACTTTAAAGGCACCTTAGGCAGCCATGCGTAAATTGTGAGAAGGGATTGTGAGATGCTGCATTTGGTAGAGGCTGGATTAAGATCACGTATGTGAACTTGAAGTGGTGCCTAGCTGGAGTGTGTTTGTGTATATGCGCAACACTTGTGCACAAGAGTCAACAGGAGGAACTGAGTGCATATTTTCCTAGACTGAAAATGCGCAATGTTCTCAGAGTTGCTGGATTGCATTCTGCATTGTCCCTGGCTATTAACCATGTTAGCTGGGGCTTGATAGCTCAGTTAGTTAGAGCATGGTGCTGATAACGCCAAGGTTGCAGGTTCAATCTCTGTCTAGGACAGATGCATATTCCTGCATTGCAGGGGGTTGGACTAGATGATCCTCGGGGTCCCTTCAAACGCTATGATTCTGTGATAGTCTGGTCCCAACAACACCTGGAGCACATCAGATTGGCTATCCCTTCCCTACTGTTAAGTGCAGGCACCCCCAAACTCGGCCCTCCAGATGTTTTGGGACTACAACTCCCATCATCCCTATCTAACAGGACCAGTGGTCAGGGATGATGGGAATTGTGGTCCCAAAACATCTGGAGGGCCGGGTTTGGAGGTGCCTGGTTAAGTGTCTTCAACAGTAATTTGGGGGCAGGCAGAGTGCAGTGCTCCTTCATTGTTTGCCACCCAACAGATGAACTATCTTGCATTCTGTCCAAGCATCACGTCTGCAGAAGGCCAGTTTTCTCTGGACCACGCTTCGCCACCAGCTGACCCATCACCACTGAAACTGTTGTGAGGGTTTTCCTTGGGCCAAAGGAAGGGATGTAGCAACAGTTTTGGAAGCGTAGGAGGAATGATTCTCCCTTCATCCCAAGTCCATTGGAATTCTCCTGATCTGCTCCTGAAGCAATCACAGTTGCTTATCTTTGGCATGGAGGAGGAACTTATATGCTTTCCATGGCCCACAGAACCTTTGGGACAGTTGGTTCAGTCCACAGAATCTTGAGGGCAGTTGGTTTGGTCTCCCTTTTGTCTTTCTGCAAAAGCAAGAGGATTCTATGTTAGAAACGCCCCTTCCCTTCCTGAACCCTCAACTTCACCCATAATAACTTCACTCACAGCGGCAAACTTAGCAGAACTTGACAAGAGGTCTCAGCCCCTACCCTGAGCAAAGGTTTGGGGGCCCACCGGCTTAACCCCCCACCTTCTTATAATGCTACCCACTTTGCTGTGTCACAGTTCACAAGAGGGTGAGTGTTGCACTTCTGTGTGAAGAAAAAAAATGTGTTCCATGGCAACCATTTGTGCTGTGGAGAAATTCGTACTGGACGCCAGTATTAAGCCCGTAAAGGCCCAGTGTCAACATATCCTCTATAGATCCTACTTAGAGCTTGGAAACAACATGAAATTCAGGATCCTGGGTGTCACCAACAAACTTCTAGGCACCTGGCAGTGAATCTCTTTGGATTTTTCCAATGCTGCCAGAACCATTTTCTCCTAGTGGCTTAAAATATCTTCCAGCATTGGTCAAATCATGCAGAGCTGTTGATGTTTCCATACTGACATCTCTGAATTTGCCAGAGGGTGGGTAGCCAGCAAGCATTGTACTGTTGTGACAGAATGCTGTAGTGTACATGAGTTTTCCCAAGGATTATATTTAGAAGAATCCTGGCCAGAAAACCTTATTACAAGGAGGAGAAGTGTATTACTGCTCATTAGGGGCACAATCTAGCTGAAGTTAATCACCTTTAAATGCCATTGACCTCGGTGGAAGGGGCTGATTGTTAAAGACTAGTTGCATTTGGAATCACAGAATCATAGAATTGTAGCATTGGGAGGGACCCTAACGGTTATCTAGTCCAACCCTCTGCAATGCAGGAATCTCAAAGCCTACATGGCAGATGGCCACCCAATCCGGGCAACAGCACAGTGGCCCAAGTTGCACATTCATGTCAGCAGTGAAATGCAGGAAGTCTTTAAAGGTAAAGGACCCCTGACAGTTCAGTCGCGAACGACTCTGGGGTTGCGGCTCTCATCTCGCTTTACTGGCCGAGGTAGCCGACGTTTGTCTGCAGACAGTTTTTCCGGGTCATGTGGCCAGCATGACTAAGCCACTTCTGGCGAAACCAGAGCAGCACACGGAAACGCCATTTACCTTCCCGCCGGAGCGGTATCTATTTATCTACTTGCACTTTGACGTGCTTTCGAACTGCTAGGTTGGCAGGAGCAGGGACTGAGCAACGGGAGCTCACCCCGTCACGCGGATTCAAACCGCCAACCTTCTGATCGGCAAGCCCTAGGCTCAGTATTTCCTGTTAACATCCTGTAACAGTCTGGTGTGTGCCCTCAGCTTTCTCATCTCAGCAGAGAAGAGGTTAGGAAGTGGTTTACTTCCGAGTGAATTGTTGCCAACTCCCAATTTCTCTTTCTGTCTTTGAAGCTATGGAGAATCTCAGACATGGGACCATGACTGGTTGAGAGAGAGATATTTTTTTTAGTAAGCCTTCCGGTCTTCCCATAAGCAAGGACTTGCTCTGAGCCTCCTTAGAAGCTTAGCTGCATGGACAATAGCTGAATGGTGTTACATGACCACTCTCTGATTCTGTGAGTTTTCTTCTTCCTTTGCTGTGTTTCACAAGAGAGAGGTTACCAGAGCATGGGCAAAAGAAAAAAGTTAGGCTATCCCTGTCCAGATAAGGGCACTGCTGGGCCACCAGCCGAATCTGATGGATGTATGGTTGAAGTATTAAACTGAAGTGTGGTTGCCCAAGCTGGGCTGTTGCACTCTTCTAAGTTAGGGACCAGACTGCTGCATTCCAGCTGATTCCAGACAGTGGCTCTTCTGTTGTAAACTGCAAGCGGAATTTCAGTTCAGTTTGTACACGATCAATATTGTACGTCGTTTCATCCACACTGGGGTGTCATGTAGCATCTGTGGGTGGGGCTATTTGAGGCTCAGCAAATACTCATTATAATACTTGCGGAGGAAAGCAATTTTAGGAGCTCAGTTTTTTGGTTTTTTAAGTATTACTATTGTTGTTGTTGTTGTTATTTACATTTCCATTCTTGCGCTTCCACCCAGAGGAGCCCAGGGCAGCAAAGCCAAAACGTTAAATCAATAATATTTAAAAATAAAAACACGTTTCAAACTTTTAAAAACAATGAAACCATCTAAGAACATGAGAACAAGTGAAAACATTTTAAACAGTTAGTCACCTACCCTCACAGCTAATAGTTTCAAGTTGCCAAGAACAATATATATATATAAATTAAATTTGTATGCTTCCCTTCATCCAAAGATCACAGGGTGGTTCACTATATAAAAATACAAAATAAGAACATTTGGCCATCAAATACCTGGCTAAACAGGATCTTTTTTAAGTTCACCTAAATCAAGTGGGTCTTTTTTCCTCCCCCATGTAATTTTGGGAAATAGGATTGCGAGAGGTGCTGTAAAAAATACTTGGTAGAAGTCTGCAGCTGATTCAGCTGCCAAATCTTGTTTGTATTCTCTAATAATTTACACATTGTATCAGCAAGGGCAAAGGATCTTGCTTGTGTGCCTGTCTGTGTGCTTTCAAAAAGTCCAGATTTTTGCCACCAGAAAAAACAGATCTTTCAAGAAGCCATGAATAATGCAAGCTCTGCAAATATGAGGAAATCCAGTTAATCCTCAATTCAAAGCGTGGATTTTTTTGGGAAGAATACTCTTTGTGGGGGCGGGGGCAGAGGAAGGGAACTATTCAGAAGATGTATAGAACAGAAATGAATCCAGATTATTTATAGCCAGCTATAAACAGGAGTAAGCAAAGTGCTTTTTTCAAAAAAAGTGGCTTCAGACGCAAGAGCATCTTTTTAATAAATGCAGAGGCAACATAGTTCATGTAACTAAGCCAGGTCTTGGCATATGAAACAGCATATGAAAATGCATTATTTCAGTAGCATCTGCTTTGCAAAAAATAATAATTGTATTTTAGGTAAAATTGCATATAAGCCTGTGTATATTGGGAGAAATTTGCTTTAAAAGCTGATAGATTTTCAAAAGGAGTTTTATTTATTCCAAACTGATGTGGAGAACTGAATTTAAGATTGGAAAAAATGAGAAACTGACAAATTTGCCCATCCGACTTGGTTAACATTTTGACTTGACACGTGTTTTCTTAACCTTTTTGACTGTGTCTCCAGCTCCACTCCAACCACCCCAGCGTGAATCCAGTCCTGCAACTTGCATGCCAGTCAGCAATTACAAATATCCTGATCTGCCTGTATCAAGATACAGAGAAGAGGTAAATGATGTTGCATCTTGGTTTTATAAAGTTACGTTGTGTTTTCTTTCTCCCATCCCCAAGCTACTGTCTGCTTGGTTTTCACTTGTGCTAAAACAGGTATTGGAAAGGGTTTTCTTGCCTTTGGTATTTGTAATTCATCAATAGCTTCCTCCCATGTATATCTGTCTCAAGCTTCTCTGTTGATGCATGTGGATTAATGGACCAGGGAGTTGGTTTTTTGGCCTGTTCTGAATGAGCATCACAATGCCACTTAAGGAACAGGTGCACAACTTGAGCACTATTAACCCCCCTTACTTTGGATGCCCAGATAGTTTCTGCCATTGCATCAAGTCCTTTTCATCCATTAAATCTTAGTGTGCCGGCTGCATCCTTTCTTGGGTAAAGAGGATCTCACTGTAGTCATCTATGCTTTGGTAATATTCAGCAAGGACATGGGGTGGCAGTGTCCCCAGAGCTTTATTTTCATTTTGGACAGTGTCAGGGAAGAAGTTATGGCAACTGAAGATGCTGGGATTGAATCGCAGAACCCTACAGTAGAGTTGGAAGTGTGGAATGTCATGTAGTCCCAACTCAGCATTCGAAATTCGCCAGGCAGAATTCGGCCACTTGTGACCAAGTGAAGATGCCTGGGTGCCAGGTTGAATCCTTGGATCTCGCCTGTTTTCACACACTCAACAACGCATCCTGTAGAATTCCACCCTTGATATTTCATCTGCACAGGGACTTCCGGGTTAGCGCGATCGGCTAATGGCGGATTCCCTCCGAGCTCCGGAGGGAATCGGCTCTACTGGAGACGGGTCTTGCCGCAACGGCGACGCGGAGACCCTCAGAAACCGCAGGCGCTGAAGCCTGCAGACTTGGTGACTCGGCGGGCACCTTAAGCGCCCCCCCGACCCACGAAGAGCCTTTTTAAAGGCTTCGGAGAGGGTACGGAGAGTGGCGTGGTGCTGTGAGTAGACCGCTACTTCAGTGGAGTGAAGCCGCGAGCCATGGCCGGAGAGCGCTGACTTTTTTCCTTGAAAATTCGGACTCGAAAAGAAAAGAAACAACCCGTGAGTAGAACGGAATCTGGACTTAAAAATTCTTTAACTTTGAATTCGGTACGACCGGGGGATGTGCTAAAGGGAAGTCCGCACCCCCCCTACCTACAGACGATTTAAAGCAAGAATCAGATAACTAAGGTGGAGAGACCATTCCTCTCTTTGTGAGATAAAAGATATTAATTCCACGATTGGACATAAGAAGTTTAGTGCTGGAGAGTAAGAGCGGAATTTTAGAAGTTTTTGTGTAACCCCCCCGGACCTGGGAGCGTCCTGTGTGTGAGCCTGTTGAGGAGGCATAAGGAGTTTGACAGCTGTCAAAGGAGCTGTCAAACGAGTAGTTAAAGTTAGAAAAATTTGTCACATATTATCTTTCTGGACTAAATTTGTTACATTTGAATTTAAGTTGTTGGAAATAAAGAAGAAATAAACAACAAAGTAACGGACTGTTGGAGAAGGACTATTCAGTAACCAGAATCCCTCTAGGGGGAATTCTGAGACATTACAATGGCTGCAGATGGAAAATTACAGGCTGAGCTGGAAAAAATGTTCTTTCTCGTGGGAAAATTACAAGAGCAAAGCACAGCGATGACTATAGGACTTGCGACCTTGAATCTTAAAGTAAGCAACTCTGCTGATTGTGTTAAGGACTTGACTGGAAAAAAATCTGCAGCCGAATCAGAAGAGATATCTTTAGAATTGGAGGAGAGGGAAGAAGGAGTGGAAAAAGTACAGGTGGAAAGTACCAACCAGAAGCCTACATTTGTGGAATACAAGGAAGAAGATCTATGGATTACATGGATTACAAATCTGCGTAAGATGAAGGAGGAAGCCCCTGGAGCACTTGGCATATTTGGATTTAAAAGAAATAAGAAATATGATTGGGGCTCCCCTTTTGAATATGGAGGACTGGTTGGAAGAAATTTTGACTCGACTGTGATAGAGCTCCTTCGAGACCTGATGACCAACATAAAGGACTACCAACAAAACCGGCAGAGAGGGACTGACAGAGATTTGAAGGCCTCGGACGTGAGAAATCCAGGCTAAGAACTGTTATGTGGACACTTATTTGGGAAGGGACTGAAACTGGGGAAGGGAGGGAAGTGAAAACAGAATTTTAAGAATTTTTTATGACTTTTGTGTTTAGTTATTATGACCAATATCTAATATAAAAATGGGAAATTCGTGGAAGGGAATCTGGGTCGACCTTAGAAAAGGATATAATGTTTATAAGAGATTTGTATAAGTGAAATTCGGTCAATTAAGAAGAGTTAAGTTAAAAAATAATAATAATATGGTAAGGATGAGAGACAAGAACTTGCTGAGCTAACTATTGGAATTGGGATGTATGAAGGGGGGGTGGGGGGAAGTCAGGGAGTGTGGTTAAGAAAGTAAGGATCTGAAATTATACATGTTTTGTCTTTGTTTTTGTGTGTTTGTGTTGTCTATATAAAATGTGAAAACCTAATAAAAATTTATTAAAAAAATTTTTTTTTCATCTGCACAATTGGAACCAATTTCAGGAACCAAAAACTGGAATGGAAAAATACAACTTTTTTAAAAAAATTTTTTTATTCAAAATTATAACAAGATATATTATCCAAAACATATCATCCTTGTCCCCCCCCATTCCCCCCCCAACTTCCCTCAGTTCCAGTCTTTGGTTTCTCTAAGAATGCTGTTTTCTGCATGTTACACAGTTGTATAGATCCTCAAACTATTTAGCTGATTATTATCAATAAAAAGTTTGTGAATGTTTATTCAAAACCTGCCAAGGAGTCCAGTTTGCTTTGTTGCGTCTTCAGATACTTTGTAAAGGGTTCCCATTCATCCTTAAAGTCACAGTTATCCTTGTCCCGTAGCTTATATGTCAGTTTTGCCAGTTCTGCATAGTCCGTCAATTTTTCTTGCCATGATTCTTTAGTTGGGGTTTCTTCAGTCTTCCATCCTTGTGCTACCAGAACTCTCGCGACCGTTGTCACATACATGAAGATGTTTTTCAACTTTTTTCACAGGTCTTTCCCTACAATCCCCAACAAAAATGCCTCAGGGAAAAATACAACTTTTGAGCTGTCTGACCGCAAAATGGCAGCTGGACATTCCGTTTTGGTGACTGTAACCCTGGTTTAAGGAGCCATTTGGCGCCTAGCTTATATAGCTGAGTTTCTAACACTGGTCCAACCCCTTGCCATGGAAGGTCATGTGCAAGGGAACATGGACTGAAAGAGTAAGGCAAGGCCATGCATAGGATTTGAAGCAGCAGTGGAGAACGGATGGTTTGCTGGCCTCAGTGTTTGCTGGACTGCAGTTTCTGCCCCCTCTGGGCAGAGGCCATGCTGATGGGAGCTGGAGCCCAACCACATTTGGAGGACCACTGTTTCCTCACCCCTGCCTTAAAGGAGAGGAGAAGCACTTTGTGTTGAGGATAAGGTTCGCAAGTGGGACAGAGGAGAAGTTTCTCTTTTTTTAAAAAAAAATTATTAAGTTTCTTACAGATATAATACACATCACAACAAAATAAAAACAGAAAAAACAAAAGAAAAAAGACAAGATCACAAATATAAACCAAAAAGAAAATAAAAACAAGGTACCTAAACACCTAAATGACACAAATTAATTATTTAAACTTCTAACCTCATAAACATATATTTTGGGCCTCCTCTGAGCCCTCCCATCTGAATTTCCTTGTAATTAAAATGTAGCAGGTTTCTGGTATCATTTTTTTTAAAAAACACAGTATTCCAGTTAAAATGAAATTTCTTAACTTTCCTTTAGGTTCTAAATCTTATTTATTTAATTAACTCTTAATTTAATCCTAGGCCTATTCTGGTACTTTCAAGTAATTTCTAATTTTTAATATCACAGTATTTATTCAAATAGTCCTTAATTTTTTTCCACTCTTCTTGGTAATCCTCTTCTTTTTGGTCGCGGATTTTTCCAGTAAGGTCAGCCAGCTCCATATATTCCATCATTTTCATCTGGAGGAGAAACTTCTCTTGATCAACCCTCTTAAATTCATCAGCGGGCAACAGAAGGAACCAAATGTGGATCTTTCCCTCTTTTTTTAAGAGTGAAATAACTGAGAAGGTCATCAAAATCCAGAGAAGGCTGTTAAAGATTGTGGCCTGTCAGGCTGCAGACGTGTCTTAAGTTATGGTTCTGTATTTTTTTTAGATGATCTCCTTGATAGAAAGCAACTCTGTGCTAATCGTGCGTGGATCTACCGGCAGCGGCAAAAGCACTCAGCTTCCACAGTTTGTTTTGGACCACTGCGTGCAGCGCTCCACCTACTGCAACATCGTAGTGACGCAGCCTAGGAAAATTGGTGCCAGCAGTATTGCGAGGTGGATTAGTAAGCAGCGGGCGTGGCCCCTGGGGGAACTTGTGGGCTACCAGGTACAGTGGCGTGTTAACCCAACATTAAAGCGCGTGTTGTGTAAAGAACCCACCTGAATCTCTCTTTTCACTTTCTTCCCTCTTGGAATTGGATGGGCCAAATCATCTGATTCTTAGACGGCCTTTGTTGTGCGCTGAAATAGAGGTTTAGTTGAATCCCAGTCTCCTGTGCAGAAAAGTCATTTGCCGTCCCGCTGCAGGTCTGTGGCTCAAGTTTCCCTAATGAATGACCACCAATTTTAGGTGTTTTCAGAAAGGGCCGCAATTTAATACCTTGCTGCTTGTTCTTCTGAGGACATTTCTCTTCCAGAACAGCTTCTTTTTCATTATGCTCAGGGGACGCTTGGGACAAACAAGGGTGCATTATAGAGCGCCTTTCATACCAGCCCTTCCTGCGCGTGGGAACCATTTCAACCAAAATTCGTTGACTGCCACAAATGTTTTCATGATACGTGTTTGAAGCAAAATGTGTGGTGTTTATATTTTTCAATGGTTTTTAGGTTGGTTTAGAAAAAGTTGCATCCAAGGACACGAGGCTGATTTATATGACGACTGGAGTTCTCCTTCAGAAAATAGTGGGGTCCAAAAGCCTTTCGGAGTTCACCCACGTCTTCATAGATGAAGTAAGTTGAGGGAAGATAAAAGATTGCACCAAGGCTGCTTATCATAGGAAATGTTTCCCTCGGGCTCTTAATCTCACACCTTCTGCATGAGAATAGCGCTCGGATGCTTGTAATATCTGCGTTCATCATTGAGAGCTGCCAGGTTGGTGGTACCAGGGGCCAGGGCCTTCTCTGTGGTGGCACCATATCTTTGGAGTGCACTCCCCATGGAAATGCAGATCATTGTCATCAAACTTATTACGAGTAAAACATACTACAACGACATGAATAGGGTGGGCCCTGAAAACACCCAATGGCCTGGGTAAACAGGTGCTTCTTCAGCATACACCGAAAGCTGTATAGCGAAGAAGCAAGGCTCACCCCTGTGTAGAGGGAATTTTACAACTTAGGAGCTGCCACAGAGATTGCGCTTTCCTGGGCTGCTGCTGCTGCTGCCACTCTCAACTTCCGAGTGTGGTGGAACGGTACCAAGAGGGCCCAACTGCTACTCTTAACACCTGGGAGGGTCAGGATTTCAGGCCTAAGTTGTTTGGGGCTTTAAACACTAATGTGAGCACCTTGAATTGGGCCGGGAAATGAAATGGCAGCCAATGCAGTTTCTTTAGGGGTGAAATGGGTCCTAAATCGCATCCCAGCCGATAATCTGGCTGCTGCGTTTTTAGCCTTTTGCCTGTTTTATTTTCCTTTCATACTTTGAACCGGTTCACGGTCAAATGATAACTCTGCACCTTTTTAGCTGCAACCAGGAAAGACGGGGTGAGAGAGGAAGAGAAATGTGCATGCCAGGGTTACCCTTCTGATCTCCTGACAATTAATAATAATAATAATTTTTATTTATACCCCGCCCTCCCCAGCCAAGGCCGGGCTCAGGGCGGCTAACAAGCAATAATAAAACAAGTTGAATGAATACAACTTAAAAACAAGATTAAAATACAAGATTAAAACATTAAAATGCAGCCTCATCACAGGAGGAGAAAGGAAAAAAGAAAGAGGGGGAGGGAATCAAATTGGCTCCAAGCCAAAGGCCAGGTGGAACAACTCTGTCTTACAGGCCCTGCGGAAAGAAATCCGATCCTGCAGGGCCCTGGTCTCATGAGGAAGAGCGTTCCACCAGGCCGGAGCCAGTGTTGAAAAGGCCCTGGCTCTGGTTGAAGCTAATCTAACTTCCTTAGCGCCTGGGACCACTAGGGTGTTGCTATTTATGGACCTTGAGGCTCTCTGTGGGGCATACCGGGAGAGGTGGTCCCATAGGTACGAGGGTCCTAGGCTGTGGTGGGGAGAATTAGCTAGGGAGAACGCTGATCTCTGAGCACAATGCAGCTCTCAAGTTCACTTCACTCGTGTTAAGCCCTCTCATCTGCTGTGACCCCCTTTAGGTGCACGAGCGTACTGAAGAGATGGATTTCTTACTGCTGGTGGTCCGTAAACTGTTGCGCACCAATTCGCGATTTGTGAAGGTAAATTTAAACTACAAGTTAATGCATTCTGAAAATGCAAGATCGGCTTATCATAATTCTGCGGCATGGAAATAATCTCCTAATACTGCGATGCTGGCTTTTTGGTGTTAGGGGTGTCGTGTAACAGCCTACCAGACAGAGTAGGACTTAGACATCAGCATATAGGGACAAAGGATGTCTGGCTTGCATCACAAACAGCTCTATCCTGAGTTATCTGGTTGCTTTTGAAAGTCAATTAAGGCCCACCCTGCCACTTGCACACGCTCTCTTTCCACCCCCACCACCCAGTCCTGCGCCTTCCAGGTTCCCTTGTTCCTTTCACCAATGCCATCTGCTGCCAGCTATCACTCGTTCTCCAGCTGAAAAGGGCATCACAGCTGAATCCAGCCCATTCAAAGCCAGGAGACGCAGCTGGGAATGCCCCGGAGCAATCCCTGTACGTTGGGCTTGGCGAGTTTTCAGCTGGAGTGCATCATGGTTGGGCATTCTGTTTCCTCTGGAATCATGTTCCTCTGGGAGCAGTCTGCAGACTTCAGAGTGTCCCTCGTGCATTTGCGATCTTTTCCGGCTCAACCCTCTGTTCATAGAATAATGAAAACTGATCCCAACAGTTTCGCTGTTGGATGTAAAGGCCACGAAGTGGTGGAAAGCATTGATGTGCTGCGTAAATAACTATTGAAAAGCATGCCATCTCTTCTGAGAAGTTAACAGGCTTCCAGGGCTTCTTCAGGCACCCAACAGTGATGGTTAGCTGATGCTCTAGGACAGCCTTTCCCTGACTTGGGGGCCTCTGGAAGTTTTGGACTACAAATACAACAGCTGTGTTGACTGGGGCTGAAAGGAGTTGCATTGCAAAAAATTCAGAGGTTGGGAGAGGCTGTTGTAGTAGACAGAGGCACAACGAAGGCAGCTATAGGAGGATAAGGCTATATCCTATCTCCACTGTTGGAAACGGTTGAGGTGGTTGTTGGCATCTGTCTGTCTCAAGAGACGATGGATTGCGCCTCTGAAGGTGGTCAAACTGCTGTGTTAGCAGCACTGGAGTGACTTCTCCAGGGTTCAAACTTGGGCAGTGTATATGGAGGTCCTGGGCTGCCCAGAAGACAAGCCCCCTCTCTCAGCCTCATTCCAACCCCCTCTGCCCGCTCTGCGGCAGTACAGGATCATGCTTGCATTAACCAGCATTGATATGTTCTGTTGCTGCTTGCAACGTTCGCAAAGAATAAGGAAATAGCATTGGAGGCGCATATTATAGTGGGGGAAGATATATGCCCCAAGTATGTATCAGAGGATCGCCAAAACATGTGCCGTCAGGACGCAACCTCATCAAAGCTGGAAGTCAGGTCCTTCGTTATTCAGATTTAGAAATCCCCCACATTACTTTCTCAGGCATGCACTCTTGGGTTGGGGCAACTGGCTAAAATGTTTTAAACGGTTCTAATTTTTGGTTCTTCTGGTTTGTTTTTTGTTGGGTTGATGTTGGTTAAATGTTTAGTTGTGGTTGGCGGTTATTTTAATTTGGGTATAACTGCAAATTGTTTATTATTGTTGTTATTTGTTTCTATTGACTTATTGGTTTGTTTGTTGCTCGTATAGGATATTTTGTTTTTTAATGTTTGATGCTTTGTTGTTTTTATTTATGTTGCAAGCCGCCCATAGTGGCTGGGGAAACCAGCCAGATGGGCGGGATATAAATTTAAAAATTATTATTATTATTATCCTTGATGTGGTCCAAAGGAAAGCAGGGCAATACATTTGGCACCAGCTTGGCTGCAGGAGTTGCCGGAAGGAGGCATACGACGCACCATTCAACCGCCTTAGGGACTCCACTCTGGATTTGTGTAGGGTTTATTCCTTAGCTTTTTCTTCTCCTGAAGATATACGTACCACAAGGCAGTGGAGGTTTAGGACCAGTCAGTCAGTTTTATTGCACATAGCCAAAGGCAATGTACACAGAATCATTCAACAGTTAAAAGAAAATATGCTGGATTAATACAAAAAACTTAAAACATTTATATTATCAAGACATTACCTACTCTAAACAGAACTATAAAAGTACCTTAATATACAGGTTAAGACATTAAACAATAAAATTTATAAGCTAAAATCGTCACATGGCCACTAATATATTAAAAAATAATGTTTGTTAATACAAATGTGCAATTATATTTGGAGTTTGGTGATAAAGATAGAATATAGCTTGATGTAGATAGGGTCAAATAAATTCATCTCCTTTACAGTTGGTGGGTTTAGGACCAGAGTTTTCCTTCTCTTAGATGGGCTACCTTCCCAGGTTGATGAGCCCCATCTGCCCCTCCCTTCTTTCTACAGCACATGCAGAAACCTCCTTCTTAACTGGCAGTAAGCCTCTAAATACTAATTGCTGGGAGTTGCAATTGAGCAGTCCTGCTTGGGAGCTCCTCACACTGGCAAACCAGATGCCTCTGGGAACAGGATGCTGGACTAGAGAGGCCACTGGCAGGGCTGCTCTTACGTTTTGAGGCCTGATCATGCTGATGACGAACCCTAGAAATGACATTTACACAGAGGGGATTGCATGACACTAGCAGAATGACATTTGGAAGCAGCCCCCCCCCCCAGCCGACTCAGATTTTGTGACACTTCGTATCTATTAACGAGAGACACACGTTTTGCAGCAATATTGTGCCCCAAGGGTTTTTAATTTTCCTATTGTGCACATTGAGTAAAACACGTTGTGCTTTTTTCTTGTATGGACAAGATCAAATGTAGTCAGTGTCTGAAACTATACCCACATCTCTTCTTAAAACACACAAAGTGTCAAATGCAAACAGCTTTATTATTATTAATTATTAAATTTCCATAGCACCCTTTATCCGAGGAACACATGGCAGTTTACAAAATAAAAACATAAAAATACATAGCATAGTAACAAACAAAAACAATACCATTACTGTTATGGTACTGAAGTTCTCACCCTGGGCCAGCAGGGGGATACTGTAGATACCGTATTTTTCGCACTATAGGACGCACTTTTTCCCCTCCAAAAATGAAGGGGAAATGTGTGTGCGTCCTATGGTGCAAATGCAGGCTTTTGCTGAAGCCTGGAGAGCGAGAGGGGTCCGTGCGCACCGACCCCTCTCGCTCTCCAGGCTTCAGGAAGCTATCCCAAGTCTTGCAAGCCCGGCGGGATTTCCCGCGGGCTCGCAAGGCTTGCGGGCAGCAGCCTGCACCCAAAAGCTGGGGACAGCGGGGAGGCACAGAGCCGCCACCCCGCTATTCCCCGACCTGATCTGGAGGCTGGCGGGGGGAGAAGCAAGCCTGCTTCTCCCCCCCCCAGCCCCACAAGCTCGGGGGATAGGGGGATGGCGAAGCGCCGCCATCCCGCTATTCCCCGACCTGATCTGGAGGCTGGGGGTGGGAGAAGCAAGCCTGCTTCTCCCCCCCCCACCATCCCCACAACCTCCAGATCAGGTCGGGGAAAAGCGGGATGGCAGCGCTCCGCCATCCCGCTATTCCCCGACCTGAACTGGAGGCTGGGGGCAGGAGAAGCAAGCCTGCTAGCTTCCCCCCCCCAGCCCCACAACCTCCAGATCAGGTCGGGAAATAGCGGGATGGCGGCGCTCCGCCATCCCGCTATTCCCCGACCTGATCTGGAGGCTGGGGGTGGGAGAAGCAAGCCTGCTTCTCCCCCCCCCCCAGCCCCACAACCTCCAGATCAGGTCGTGGAATAGCGGGATGGCGGCGCTCCGCCATCCCGCTATTCCCCGACCTGATCTGGAGGCTGGGGGTGGGAGAAGCAAGCCTGCTTCTCCCCCCCCCAGCCCCACAACCTCCAGATCAGGTCGTGGAATAGCGGGATGGCGGCGCTCCGCCATCCCGCTATTCCCCGACCTGATCTGGAGGCTGGGGGTGGGAGAAGCAAGCCTGCTTCTCCCCCCCCCAGCCCCACAACCTCCAGATCAGGTCGGGAAATAGCGGGATGGCGGCGCTCCGCCATCCCGCTATTCCCCGACCTGATCTGGAGGCTGGGGGTGGGAGAAGCAAGCCTGCTTCTCCCCCCCCAGCCCCACAACCTCCAGATCAGGTCGTGGAATAGCGGGATGGCGGTGCTCCGCCATCCCGCTATTCCCCGACCTGATCTGGAGGCTGGGGGTGGGAGAAGCAAGCCTGCTTCTCCCCCCCACCAGCCCCACAACCTCCAGGCTTCAGGAGAGCCCCACCGCCAGCCCCACAAGCTCGGGGGACAGCGGGAGAGGCGCAGCGCGCCCTTCCCGCTGTCCCCCGACTTGGCTAGAAGGCTGGCGGGGGGAGAAGCCTGCTCCTCCCCGTCGCCAGCCCCGCAAACTCGGGGGACAGCGGGAGAGGCGCAGCGCGCCTTTGCCGCTGTCCCCCGACTTGTCTAGAAGGCTGGCGGGGGGAGAAGCCTGCTCCTCCCCGTCGCCAGCCCCGCAAACTCGGGAGACAGCGGCAGGGGCGCAGCGCGCCCTTCCCGCTGTCCCCCGACTTGGTTAGAAGGCTGGCCCAGCCCCGCAAACTCGGGGGACAGCGGGAGAGGCGCAGCGCGCCATCCCGCTGTCTCCCGACATGGTTTGGAGGCTGGCGGAAGGCTTCCTCCTCCCCCAGCCCCGCAAGCTCCCAGAGCGATGCCAAAGCTGCGCGCAGCTTCGGCATGGCTCTGGGTCCCGTTCTGGGGGAGGGGGAAGCTCGGGCTTCCCCGCCCCAGCCCCGCGCCTGGCGGGGGGGGAATAATTTTTTTTTGCCTTTATTTCCCCCCCCAAATCTAGGTGCGTCCTATGGACCGGTGCGTCCAATAGTCCGAAAAATACGGTAGTTATGCAAATAAGGGATCAAAAGTGACGTTCAGTGATTGGATAGTTTTAGAAAATTGTTACAGTTACGTTGTACTGGAGCTCTATATAAGCAGGCTGACTGAACCCTTCAGTTCAGCTCTGTTCTGGCCTGTGAATAAACAAGAACTCTTTGAAGAATCGATGTGTCGTCTGATATGTTCACCCACAACTTAACAATTACCACCCAAAAAAATTCAGTACACAGTAGGAATTCAAGCTGTGAAGCTTCTGAAGCTCGTTTTTATACTTCCCCCTTTCCACAGGTAATTCTGATGTCTGCGACAATCAACTGCCAAGAGTTTGCCGACTATTTTGCTATCCCAGTCCGCAACAGGCTGTATCCGGCATATGTGTTTGAAGTAGAAGGCAAGCCTCACGCTATTGAAGAGTATTACCTCGACGACCTGAGGCCTATTCTCAGTCATATCAGGGTATGGAAAACAACTGGCTTTGGGCTCTCTGTCTAGAATAACTTTGGGGGTATTAAGGGCAAAAAAAATGAGAGGGGTATTGGGCAAAAAAATTTTGCGAGTATTGGGCAAAAAAAATGAGAGGCACAAATACAAGATGGGTGACACCTGGCTTGAGAGCAGTACATGTGAAAAGGATCTAGGAGTCTTGGTTGACCACAAACTTGACATGAGCCAACAGTGTGACACGGCAGCTAAAAAAGCCAATGCAATTCTGGGCTGCATCAATAGGAGTATAGCATGTAGATCAAGGGAAGTAATAGTGCCACTGTATTCTGCTCTGGTCAGACCTCACCTGGAGTACTGTGTCCAGTTCTGGGCACCACAGTTCAAGAAGGACATTGACAAACTGGAACGTGTCCAGAGGAGGGCAACCCAAATGGTCAAAGGCCTGGAAACGATGCCTTATGAGGAACGGCTAAGGGAGCTGGGCATGTTTAGCCTGGAGAAGAGGAGGTTAAGGGGTGATATGATAGCCATGTTCAAATATATAAAAGGATGTCATATAGAGGAGGGAGAAATGTTGTTTTCTGCTGCTCCAGAGAAGCGGACACGGAGCAATGGATCCAAACTACAAGAAAGAAGATTCCATCTAAACATTAGGAAGAACTTCCTGACAGTAAGAGCTGTTTGACAGTGGAATTTGCTGCCAAGGAGTGTGGTGGAGTCTCCTTCTTTGGAGGTCTTTAAGCAGAGGCTTGACAACCATATGTCAGGAGTGCTCTGATTGTGTTTCCTGCTTGGCAGGGGGTTGGACTCGATGTCCCTTGTGGTCTCTTCCAACTCTATGATTCTATGATTCTAAGGGTAAGGAGATGGGCTTAAAACCCCAAGAAATTCCCCCTCTCCTCTTTCTGGCATATGCATAGTAGCTTGAGGAGGTAAGAAAGGAAGAGGTTTAAAGTAGAGATTCTCCCCCACCCACCCTAACATAACATCTTCCTTTTAAACCAGGTTTCAGATTCTGCATTGTCAGTGTAATGTGATCTAACGAGTGAATCCCGCAGAAGCATTGATTTAATGGTTTCAGACTTAATTCAGTGGGGAGGGGAAGGGGCCAGTGGGAGAAGAGAAAATTAATTGGCTGTACACTCCAGGCAGGCGTATCTGTTAACAAGCGAGAGTGCCAATCAAAGGCAAACTGATAGACTCCTGCAGTCATCGAAGTCCCGATACACAGAACAAAGAGTATCTGTCCTGTTATAACAATGTCCCGTCAGCATTCATGTATTTGACAGCAGTGTGTTGGCAACACCCATGGACAGAAAAGGGAGGGACGCTTATATAATCTTTCTGGATGTTTGTGAAAGATTCCTGGTGATGCGTGGCAAGTAAGAGAGTCAGGAAAGTTGACTAGAAAGTCTCTCCCTATCAGGTCAGATCAAGGTTTCTTTAGTGTGTGGTTGGACACAAAATGTGTGTAGTTTTTTTTTGGGGGGGGGGGATTTGCAGCTGGGAAGCTGATAATGCGCAGTTTGGAAAAAAACCTGAGGGATTAGGCACATTAGGTGTTACATGTTTATCGATCACTTAAATGACAAGCAATGTCAGGGGCAGCATGCACAAAAATTATATAAGGGTAGAACACACAGTTTTCCATATTTAAAAGAAACAGCCCAAACCGTATTTAAACAACAACATTTTTTCTTTCTTTCTTTGGCTGGAACCTCTTCCTTCACATTCACCTTTCAGCAGGTAACACTTTGTCACCTTCTTGTTCATAAACTTCTCCTGGTTTTACACCTGTTAGTTGCTGATCTAAGGCAGATAGTCAGTGTATAGTAGACTATACACTATCTCCACCCCCCCTTTTTTAAAAGTCTGATGGAGAATTTGTGCAATTGGAAAATCTGCTTTTTAAAAACATCCAGGATTGGATCTGTCAGACGTGTTACTGCTTCTGTCAATTAGGTTTCCTAGCCATTTGATTTCAAGCCCGACACCTTCATGTGTATGGGAAAGGGGCTGCTTTAGGATCCTGGCTCCTCTACCCCAACCTTCTGAAAAGATTGTACAGCTGTAATCCTCCCATTATTGCTACTATATTTCCTCCCCCTCTTCTCACTCCCCCTTCCGCCCTTCCTGGCTTACGGCCCTTCTTCTTTGCTTAGTAGGGAGGAACAAATAGGATGGTACAGGCGGTTGTGTTTTGTACCTTTAGGGCAGCTCTGGAGCAGCTTTGATAATAGCGGTGGATCCCTCATGGAGTTTTCCTAGGAGAAAAGGCACCAAGCTTCGTTTGCTGTTTTATGAAGGCTTTTGCTTTCTTATTTTATTTTGAAAAAGCTGACAGCTATGGGTGGTATTGAACACTTTGGATCTGCTGATGCAGGGCACTTGAGCTAGCGGCCTCCAGCCCACCCTCAAAATCAGCCCCCAGAGGGTTGGGCAGATACCAAAAGATTCCAACTGAGAAACGACTCTGTCCCTGTGGAGATGGCAATCTGGAAACAGTGGCTCATGTTCTCCTGTCTTGTCCCCTTTATAAAGATCTGAGGAATGAGATCATCACCCCACTCCTACTTACCATCCCAGGCCACCCATCTGCGGCCACATTGTTCTTTCTGTTATCAGATCAAAATGATCAGACGACAGCAAAGGTTGCTAGGTTTATCGAGGGTGCAATGAGATTAAGGGCCACTATCTGAACAATAAGGGACGCGGGTGGCGCTGTGGGTTAAACCACAGAGCCTAGGACTTGCCAATCAGAAGGTCAACGGTTCGAATCCCCGCAACGGGGTGAGCTCCCATTGCTCGGTCCCTGCTCCTGCCCACCTAGCAGTTTGAAAGCACATTAAAGTGCAAGTAGATAAATAGGTACTGCTCCAGCGGGAAGGTAAACGGTGTTTCCGTGCGCTGCGCTGCTTTGCCAGAAGCGGCTTAGTCATGTTGGCCACATGACCTGGAAGCTGTACGCCGGCTCCCTCGGCCAATAAAGCGAGATGAGCACCGCAACCCCTGAGTCGGCCACGACTGGACCTAATGGTCAGGGGTCCCTTTACCTTTTTATCTGAACGATAATCTTGACCATTTGTCCTTTTACGAATTGTTGTCTTTTTAAATGTATATATTGCTTGTTTTATGTTGCTATGGCCGTTGGCTAATGCAAATAAAGTTTAAAAAAACAACAACTCTGTAGAAGCATTTTGGAAAGAGATTAAGTGTTGCATTGGATGCAATTCTATGTAATGGGTTGGATGCTAGTTGGAAACTGGTGTTGTGGCCTCACAGTCAGAGGAGGTGGGTCCAAGGATACTCAGCCTCCAGCTGGGGAATCGGATCAGGCTCCTCATCCTGATGTGAACCAACAGAGTTCAGCGCTGGTGGTCTGGAGCCTGCACAGATGCTTGTCCTCTGAGCCTGACTCATCCCACAAATCGGCTACCTGTTCTGCCCAGTGATGCAGGGAACAGAAGGAGGGACCAGCGGGTTGGCCCTTTAAGAACCACACTCTCTCCCTTTACCTCTGGCCTGTGTCAGAGCTATGGGAGCTATCCATGGTGCTGCAACTACTAGCCTGGCTGGCTGCTGTGGAAATCTGGCACAGATGGGTTAGAACAGCTACAGCTTCTTCTTTTTGTGTTTTCTTAAAAATACACAAAGGCTTGGAGCCTGATGCTGCAGTGCATAGGCCGGTTCTGATGCTTGAGCAGAAGGCACTAGTGCTAAGAGCAGCCTTTCCCAACCTCGTGCCCTTGGTTTATAAGTCCCACCTACCCCAGGCAGCTGTGCCAGTTTAACTTTATGAATATGAGGAGGAATAGCATGATTATTATTATTTGTTAAATTTCTGTATTATGGGAGTTGTAGATCGGAAGAGGTAAGGTTATGCACAAATTTGGAATTCTTGTTTTCAGTGAAAATACTGCACCACACCCTTTCCATATGTTTACAGGGTGCAGACCTACCTGCTTGTCATTGGTTACTTTGTACAAGGCTCCATTTTTAGTTTGTGTCTACATCCCGGTGCTTGAAACCCCCTCAACTACTTTTGCCAGTAGCAGTAAGCTGTCACCACTCAGGAATGCCACTTGTCTGTGGGGGAGGGGGGGGAGAGTCCCTTTTAAGAAAAGCCCTGCTATTTGTATGCCACCTTTCCATAGTTAGAACCATACCGTGATCAACTCCCACCTGGAAACCAATGTCCCCACTGTGGAAGGACATGTGGATCCAGAATTGGTTCCCACAGTCACTTACAGACTCATTGTTAAAACCATGTCTATGGAAGACAATCTTACTCGGCTACAAGTGATCGCCAAAGAAGTAGTAGTAGTTATAACCATGCTCAAGGGGGCTTGCAACATGAAAAGATTTACGTAGTCAAAAAGCATGTCAAAAGTTTTCTTTCTCTTATCTGAGGAGAGTTTTGTCATTTTGTTTCTTTAAAAAAACCCACCACATTTACTTGTTTGCAAAATGTTCTGTACCGTCAACATTAAGAAAAAGTGTTGTAGTGTTGAGCAGCACAAAAATCAACAATAAAATTTCGTCAGTAAAACCAAATGCAAAGCACATCACAAATCAGTAGATCGGATTAGAATGCATGAACATAACCTGGTGGGGGAAAGCCTGGGTGAACAGCCTTCCTTGCATGAATTGTTGTTGGATCCCAACAGCTGCTTTTCCTCAAGAGTAGAGCAACTTGGGAGTACTTTGGTTTTTAAAGGCAAAATAAATTACGTATTTTTCGCTCTATAACACGCACCCGACCATAACACGCACATAGTTTTTAGAGGAGGAAAACAAGGGAAAAAATATTCTAAACGAAACAGTGGATGTATGATTTTTGTGGTTCATGCTGTGGCTACAGACATGTGATTTGTCGGTGAGTTTGGGGTAGCCCAATGCAAAAATCCTGAGGATCCATGTGGATCTGTGCTTTGTAACCATGTTTTAAGTGGGGAGGGAAGGAAAAACACTCAAGGGACAAGAAGCACGCGTGGGGTGGATGAAGAAGGATGCTGCTAATAATGCAGAAGAGGGGTATAAGAGGAGAAGGCGGCTCTCCTCTCCCGCTTTGCTCCTTTAAAGCAAGCGGGCTCTGCTCCTCTCCCTCCTCCCCGGCTCGTTGAAAAACTTTGCTGCTATTTAGCGAGCTGAGTGGGGAGGAGAGAGGGACAGAGAGCCTGCTTGCTTTAAAGGAGCCAACCGGACAGGAGCCGCTTATACTCGTGTAAGCGGCTCCTCTCCTCTCCCGCTTTGCTCCTTTAAAGCAAGCAGGCTCTCTGTCCCTCCCTCCTCCCCACTCAGCGGCTCTTCTCCCGCTTTGCTGTTTCAAAGCGAGCCACGGAGGAAGGAAGGAAGGAAGGGGAAGCATGGATCCTCTGCTCACGACTGCAGCAGATCCCCCCGCCATCCGTAGGCATTCGCTCCATAACACGCACAGACATTTCCCCTTTCTAGGAGGAAAAAAGTGAGTGTTATGGTGCAAAAAATACGGTATTTAAAATTATTCTCTTATTTTTTATTTCTGTGCTGGGCTCTTAAGAAGCCTGCATTGTGTTGGGTAAAGCTGTCTCTATCAGATTTGCTTCCAGTTTGAATGGGTCACTTCTGGCAGCCAGGGTACCACTTGTGGACTCTTGTATTTGTCAAACTGCAAACTTGCCTGGTAAAACGCCCTGGCAGCTCTTGTCTTCGGAGATAGCAGAAAAGGGGGGGGGGGAAGTGCTGAAGCTTCAGCAAGGTGAAAACTCGAGCTCTGAAAGCTACTGAAGCAGAGAAACTCAAACTGATGGCTTTTACATTCTAACAAGTAAGAATGGAATAATCCTAGGATAAGATAGAAGATGAAACGGCCTGTAGCCTTCATAAAATGGTTCACCAAGCCATCCCGACCATCCAGTCTCACTGCCTTAGGTGAAATATATGCAACTGTTCAAATGAAACTAACATCTTCACACAAGGATTTGGGTTAATGGTCACTGAGCAACAGGGTCAGGGAACCTCTCCAGATGTTGTGGATCTCAATTCTCACCATCCCTGACCATTAGCCATTCTCACGGGCTGGTGGCAGTTGGGGTCCAATGTCATTGGGAGGGCTGCAGGTACCCCATCTCTGCTGTGCAACATGGTTTTTTTTCTTTGTTTGCTAACAGTCTAGCACACTTTATATTGTGATTGTTTGTTTCCAACATTGCAGGGGGTTGGATGACCCCGGGGGGTGTGTGTCTCTCCCAACTCTGCAATTCTGTGTCCACATCTCTGTAGGACATCATGCATAGCGTGTGCTACGTGCGCCAAAAAAATTGTTCACTGCTTTTCTATCTCAGGACTGCCAAGTTTAGTACAGTGGTACCACTGAGCCTCTTGGGCTTGGCGATCGGAAGGTCGGCGGTTCAAATCCCCGCGACGGTGTGAGCTCCCGTTGCTCGGTCCCTGCTCCTGCCAATCTAGCAGCTCGAAAGCACGTCAAGGTGCAAGTAGATAAATAGGGACCGCTCCGGCGGGAAGGTAAACGGCGTTTCCGTGCGCTGCTCTGGTTTCGCCAGAAGCGGTTTAGTCATGCTGGCCACATGACCTGGAAAAACTATCTGCAGACCAACGTCGCAGCCAGTAAAGCAAGAGTCAGAGTCGTCCGCGACTGGACCTAACGGTCAGGGGTCCCTTTACCTTTACCTTACCTTGGTCGTCAAACTTAATCCATTCTGGGAGTCCATTCGACTCCTGGAACCGTTTGAAAACCAAGGCATGGCTGCCGGACCTTCCTCCACTCAGTCGGAAGCTGCGTTGGACGTTCGGCTTCTAAAGAACATTCGAAAACCGGAACACTCACTTCTGGGTTTTCGGCATTCAGGAGCCAAAACATATGAGTACCAAGGCGTTTGGGAACCAAGGTACAACTGTACATAAATGGAACTTGAAAAAACCAGCAAACTCTTTAAAAAGCATTGTTTCACTATCTGTCTACTTCTGTTACACACAATTTTTAAATATGTTGATTAGCCAGGTTTCTCTGACCTTAGAAAATAATCCATTCTTTAGCCAAGGGGAACAAAGGCTGTTCACTCAGGTGGAATTGCATCTCCTTTTAGAAGACTTTCGGTTAATTAACATTGTGAATTAGGCTTTGAAAAATGTAGTGATGGAAGATTTGTGTTGGCTGGGAATTGCAAGTTTCTTCATGTTCGCCTAAAAGCTCCTTTCTCATAAATAGACTACATCTTACCAAAGATTGAAGGAAGCAGCTTCTTTATGTTCCGCAGTCCGGAGCAGAATGTGCCCTTTTGTACTTCCTGCCTGTCAACTTTGGCATAATTGGGAGGAGAATAAAATCTTACTAGAAGTCCTTCCACAGGAAAAGCAGCTGTGCTTGAAATGTATCAGGACTTCAGTTCATCATAAAATATTCTCTCTACCTGTTGGTTCCCTGCCTTCAGTATCTTGGTGGGGTCAGGTGGGGTGGGGTAACCCACTGCCACCAGGGCTGTGTACACACTATGCATTTAAGCACATTTCCCCCCCCTCCAGAATTTTGAGCAATGTAGTTTACCCATCACCAAATTATAATTCCCAACAACAATTAAACTATACCAGCCTTATACGGAGACAGACCTCTTGGTCTCTCTAGCTCTGTATTGCTTACACAGACTGGCAGCAGCTCTCCAGGGTTCTCATAACATGGGGCGCCCCCCCCCACTCTACCTGTGACCTTTTGCATGCAATGCAGGTGCTCTACCGCTGAGCTACCATCCTGCCTCACCTTGCTTTCTGTCCTACGTCTCTTCTGATTTCCTTCACTCATCCCTGCCATTCACAACCCATCCCTGACCTCTCTTTTTTTATTTTCATTTGTAATTTTCGGTTAAATACATTTCAGTAGTTTTACAGTTATTTTAACATCTCAAAACTCTACTTCCTTCCTCTTTCTGCGGTTAAATTTATATTTATCATTTCCTGCATATACTGAATTAACTGATTCTTCTATATTTACTTTTATGAAACTTATTACAATAATCCTGCCAATGTCCTTATCTGTTTATAATTTATTTGTGCATATTCAGTAAACCATTTCCATTCTTTTATAGAAAGTTTGTTGTCTTGATTTCTTATTTTTCTGTTAAGTTTCGCCATTTCTGCATAGTCTGTGAGTTTTCTTTCATTGGGACTACTACTACTTTCCATTTTGGGGCCAATAACATTCTTGCCGCTGTAGTTGCATACATAAATAAATTTCTATACTGTTTAGCTAGTTCTAACCTTATAATTCCCAGAAGGAAAGCTGCTGCTTTCCCCCCAAATGTTATTTTAAACATCATTTTCAATTCGTTATATATCATTTCCCAGTAAGCTTTTCTGCAAGACCACCACATACGATAGAAAGTACCTTCTTTCTCTTTGCATCCCCAACACTTACTCAATTTTGATTTATACATTTTTTGCCAGTTTACTCAGTGTTAGAAACCATCTGTATAACATTTTCAGGAACGTGGGTGGCACTGTGGTGTAAACCACTGAGCCTTGGGCTTGCCGATTGGAAGGTCAGTGGTTTGAATCCCCGCAATGGGGGGTGAGCTCCTATTGCTTGATCCCAGCTCCTGCTAACCTAGCAGTTCGAAAGCATGCCAGTGCAAGTAGATAAATAGGTACCGCTCTGGCGGGAAGGTAAACGGTGTTTCCGTGCGCTGCTCTGGTTTCACCAGAAGCGGCTTAGTCATGCTGGCCACATGACCCGGAAAAACTGTCTGCGGACAAACGTCGGCTCCATTGGCCAGTAAAGCGAGATGAGCGCCGTAACCCCAGAGTGGTTCGCAACTGGACTTAACTGTCAGGGGTCCTTTACCTTTACTATACAACATTTTCATACAGTTTCCTCTTAACATCCTTGACCTTTCTGCATCCCCTGTCCATTTACCATTGTTTGCAAGACCCTTCAGGTAGGGAAGGTGTCATAATTCCTTCGGTGCCACCTCACCTCCTTATGCCAGCAATTTTTTATAAATAGCAAGAGTAATACTAACCTCCCCTTTTGCTCTACCCTCTAGAGAGCCAGTGTGGTGTAGTGGTTAAAAGTTGTGGACTCATAATCTGGGGAACTGGGTTCGCTTCCCCGCTCCTCCACATGCAGCTGCTGGGTGACCTTGGGCTAGTCACACTTCTTTGAAGTCTCTCAGCCCCACTCACGCCACAGAGTGTTTGTTGTGGGGGAGGAAGGGAAAGGAGAATGTTAGCCACTTTGAGACTCCTTCGGGTAGTGATAAAGTGGGATATCAAATCCAAATTCTTCTTCTTCTTCTAGATTCCTATACAAGTTACTGAGGACCCGGTCATACCTGAAGAGATGTACAGAGCTGCAGTTTCTCTGATCCAGTGGTTTGACGAGTTGGAAATGAAAGAGAGCAGGTGAGATTCTGTTCTTCCTGCTCCCTGTGTAGGGTTGCACAGGTGGGCTCCTCGCCTCCGAAGAAGAGACCTTGGAACATTCCGACCAGGAAATTGGTGCTTGTCAGCGGTGGATGGTGTCTGGTAGGGCAGAAGGCAGGGAGTTCAACAGTCGGTGGCGCCAGAGATGATGAGAATCTTATTTTATGCCGCCCAACTGACTGGGTTGCCCTAGCCGCTCCGGGTGGCTTCAGCAATGACAGAGCCAGCTAATTCCAGCGTTGTCCTCATCTTCCTTCCTGGTGAGTTCTACAAGGGCAACACTGAGGCAGAAGAGAAAGAAGCTGATAAGCAGTGCCATCCCCAGACTTGTTATGAGTAAGAAATCAGGCAGGTGTTGCCCAGCTGAGGGCAGACTGAGGTTGGGGGCGCATTGCCCCATTCAGCCTAATGGACTAGCTTCTACTGGACTTTCCCCCCTTTCTCCTTAAAGAGTGCCTTCAATGCACTGTGCAGGTGGGGACTTGAATGCTCCCCCATAATGAAACCAGCATTCCCCGCAGCTGTGGGTCAGTTCTGGAGGAACACACTCGAGTTTTCCTGTGATCGAGCCCCTTTAATGCAGAATTCCTAAATGAATTCCCGTACTCAAGACACACCAAGTGAAAACTACACCGACAGAACAGCCCTGGGGCAGTGTTTTCTGCAAGTCCCCTGCTGCATGTCCTGCCCCCTGTTATTTTGGGTGTTTCGCAAGAATCTGTCCCTCTCTGGGAAGGTCTTTGGTCCCTTGTCTCTTGCCAAGAATTGTGATGTGGTGCAGGCTGTCTTAACCTCTTCTTGTAGAAGTGTCTGGGCTCAGGCAGTAGCCAGGTTTTCACTGGGATGATGGAGGTGTGCGTGTATGTGTGTGTGCATGCTGTGGCATTGGTTTGTGTGTTCCGCAGTGGTGTGCACTGGGTTGTGTGTGTGCCTCACCAGCCTAAGTTCTTTGCACTGGGGACAATTACCCCCATGTTACCCCTGATAAATTGCACGACTGGAGTCCGGTGCCCTGGGAAAGCAGCCAAATGCAATGGTGATCAGACCGGAAGTCCTGCCTCCATCCATACATGAACTGGGATGGGCATTGAAATATACTCGGAGTCGAGAGTGGATTTCATGCTCTTTATTCAGCTCATAGTGGTGAGGAGGAATGCAAGTTCCCCCAGAATGTCTGCTTTATATGCATTATTTACACAATGGGCCCCACGTGATTGGCTAATTCCGGGATTCTCCTGTAGGCCAATCAGGTTGTGGATTCACTTCCAACTGGAGCTGGATTGGGTGGCTCATGTGGACCAATCAGACTGCTGCATTCTGAATCCTATTCTAGGACTAATCAGACTGCTGCATTTTGGATCCTATTCAACTCAGTACATAACAGGCATCATCACCAGCACAGCCTATGAATGGTTGGACTTGGCAGTACTTTCAAGCCTATCAAGGGCATGTCTGTTCTTTGTTTTCTTGGTGCTGTTTTCCAGTTGTATGTTTCGTCCCTCCTATGTTGAGTGGGCATAAAATATGCCAACCACTTCTCCCCCCTCCCCCAATTTTTTTCTGCCCAGATCCAGATTAGGGATGTAAACATGGATTAGGAAATCAGAAGTCTTGGCACCAAATTCTAAAATATGTCCCGATACTTTCTTCTTCTTGCCTGTTTTTGTATGCTAATGCAAATTCTGCATAGACTAATACGTGTTTGGGCTTTACAGATTTTGTTTAATGCCGTGTTTGCATTTAAAAGGACATCTGTGTATGAATGTCTCTCTAGGTAAAGGTAAAGGGACCCCTGACCATTAGGTCCAGTCGTGACCGACTCTGGGGTTGCGGTGCTCATCTCACTTTACTGGCCGAGGGAGCTGGTCATGTGGCCAGCACGACTAAGCCGCTTCTGGCGAACCAGAGCAGCGCATGGAAACACCATTTACCTTCCCGCCGGAGCGGTACCTATTTATCTACTTGCACTTTGACGTGCTTTTGAACTTCTAGGTTGGCAGGAGCACGGACCGAGCAACGGGAGCTCACCCCGTCGCGGGGATTCGAACCGCCGACCTTCTGATCAGCAAGCCCTAGGCTCACTGGTTTAACCCACAGCGCCACCTGTGTCAAATGGAAGAGTTTGCTTTGATAGCTGCGGGGCAAGATTGTATCTGTGTTTGTGTGTGTGTGTATGTGTGTAATTTATGGATGAAATCATTTCGAAGAGAGAAAAAAATGCAACGAAAACTTCTTATATGGATGGGGGAACCCCCAATGCACTTTCTCCTGAGCGCTCTTTCTCTTTCTTTTCATTTTATCTTATTTTGATACTTAATGTCCATGTTAGTTCAGAGTGCAGAACGGATTAAGGCAATGTAATCTGCTGTGCTGTGGAGCGTTTTGAGTAGCCTGGCTTGCAGTGACTGCAAAAACCTGAAAGCCTCATAAGGCCGGCTCCTAACTTAAAATTGCATTCTATTGATATTTTTAGTACCGTCTTGTTGATAAGAGGTATTATAAAAGAGCAGAGTCCTCTATCATCATCTTTTTTTACAGTCTAGCAATTTTAACAATTGGGAGAGAGCTTGTTCTTGCAAGACTTCCAGGGTCGCCTTGTATTTATCAGAGGGCAGTTTCATAATAAGAAAACAAACAGAGGGGAAAACATTCACGGACAGATAATTGCTTTGTTTCGTGGTAATGTATGACCTTTTTTTCTTTTTTCTTTTGGAGAAATATGGCTTCTCTGCACTGCCCCCCTCCATTGGATATCTGACCTAGTTTTAAGTCAGAACAAAATGCTGTTTTTAAAATAGCTGCTGTTAACCTCAATCCTAATACTTTTTTTAACTGTCATAATCTCATCGAGATAAGGAAAATTACACTAGAACAAGTAGATTTTAGATTGCAGCTGCGAAGATGGGAAATTGCCATACGCAGGGTTGGGAAGATTGTTCCACCTAGCTTAGGATTGTTGACTGTGATTGGCTTTCCATTATTTCAGGGGTGTGTGTTTCTTTCTCGGCCCTAGCTGGTGATGCTAAGAATTGGACCTGGCAGCTTCTGAAACAGAGAAGGGCCGTCCTTCTCAAACAGAGGGTCACATTCCCTTCCGGGGAACCTTTTGGAGGTCTCAGGCCAATGATGGGCAACCCCAGAGGCCAAAGTGGGTAGAGCAACAATTCAGATTTCACCTCCATACAGTAGTTTCCGCACACACTGATACCTCCCTCTGTTTCCTTCATCAAGGCAGCCTACAGACATTCCAGTTGTGCAAAACATTTGAGCAGAGGGTATGAAATAGGACGACTTCTTCTTTGGCAATCACTCGTAGCCGAGTAAGATTGTCTTCCATAAACATGGTTTTAAAAGTGGGTCCGTAAGTGACTGTGGAGGCCAATTCTGGATCCACACGTCCTTCCACACTGGGGACATAGGTTTCCAGGTGGGAGTTGATCACGGTGAAGGTTTGCCAAACATACCTTCCTCTTAGCACATTTCTCCCTTTCGTCCTGAGTTTGAGCATCTTCAAAGTCCATGGCACCTTTGGTAAAAGCTGTTCTCCAATTGGAGCGCTCACAGGCCAGTGTTTCCCAGTTGTCGGTGTTTATACTACATTTTTAAAGATTTGCCTTGAGACAGTCTTTGAACCTCTTTTGTTGACCACCGGCATTACGCTTTCCATTTTGAAGTTCGGAATAGAGTAGTTTCTTTGGAAGACGAGAATCAGGCATCTGCACAACATGACCAGTCCAACGAAGTTGATTTTGAAGAATCATTGCTTCGACACTGGTGATCTTTGCTTCTTCCAGTACACTGGCATTCGTTGCCTGTCTTCACAAGTGATGTATAAAAATTTTCGGACTAGGGAAGCAGGGGCAGACTGGTAATAAGGGGCCCCGAGCAATGAAATTTCTTACTTTTCACAATAATTTCTTTTGGTACAGTTTACCCATATATTTACTCGTATTTTACCTGTATAAATATAGGTGGTATTATTATTATTATTATTGTTGTTGTTATTATAATATTTTGCACCCCCTCGGCTTGGTGCCCTATATGGGGGAACTGCCTGCAGTACCCTAAATCTGGCAATGTAGTGAAGGGTGTGGGTGAGGAGGATGTGGGGTGGGAGGTGAGGAGAGTCAGCGGTAGTCAGTTTAGGGCCCTCCAGGTGTTACTGGACTCCACCTCCCATCATCTCTGAGCATTGGTCATGTGGGCTTGGGCTGATGGAAGTTGGAGTCCTGGAACATCTGCAGGGATCAAGGTTGGGAGAAGACTGTTTTAAATAACTGGCTTTCATTTTGTTCGCTGTCCTAAAAGCTCTTTGGGAACTGAAGAATGGTAAACGAATAAATATTCATTTAAAAAAAGAAGTCGTTATTATCCCAGACTTACTTCCATCCCTCCCTTAGTATTTTTCTTCTAAAAGGAGGTATTTAACAAGGTAAAAAGAGTGTTCCAGCATTGCAAGGCCCCCACTACCAGGTGCTTATGTAATACGTTGCATTCTATCCTCTGGATGCTGTAAGTGAAGTGAATATCTGCAGCATTTCATATCGAGGTCTAATTATTCCTATGAAGCGGAAGAGATTTGCAAAACTGACTTCTTTTGTATTCCCTTATAAAGAGGCTTGCAGTGTGCCCCCCCCCCGATTGATCAGAAAAGCTCATAATTGGGGAGGCGGGGGTGACTTTTGTCAGATGGATTTAGCTTCATAGTTTTTGCGGGGTGCCGTTTTGAGTTCTATTTAAAGTTACCTAAAATTATTGTTAAAGTGGGCCAGGTGGCAAGTAATTGGGGGGGGGGAATCTGCCTCAAAACCCCTAGATCTGCTGCCCGTCACATTTCAGATTTTGAGAGTGCTGGGGATGGCAGCAACAAAGTGAGCTTCTGGCACACACACTAGTCAATGTTTAGCTGATAGGTAACGTTAAAGTCTGTACCACTTTGCAGAGCACCCATTTCCCTAATCTGGTGTCCTTGAAATGTTGTTCTACAACGCCCATCATCCCTGACCGTGGGCCATGCTGGCTGAGGTGGTTGGCTAGAAAATGGGGAAGGCCACTCAGATTCCTACTGTGAATAAAACATAGATACACAGTTCAAAAGCATATGTCTTTGTTTTTCAGCTGCTAGAATTGCTCCGAAACATCAAAACTATTCTATTTGTTACATTGCCATCTCTGGGAGATGCATTCCAGTGTGAGCTGCTGTGATGTAAAGAGAGCGCTTGTAAAAGCTTGTTACACAACAAGTTTTTGAGATATAATAGGGAATAAGAACGCTTCTCTTTCTGTTAAGGCTATTGTAGGCTTCTTGCTCTTAGCTTCTTCATGCATGTATTTTGCAGAAATTGTAGCTCCAGGTAACACTTTGTAAACACATCTGTTCAATTAGCCGAATAACATTAAACACAAAGGGAAGCTTCCCTCGTTGGCATTGTGAGCGAATCTGTTCCTTAGGCCTTTTTTAAAAGTAGATCATTGTTGCTTTTAACGTGAAACTAATGCATACTGTCTCTTTCCCTAAAACCAGAAACCCACATGCAGAAATCCAGAGTTTGGACTTCATGACTGAGCGTGGCAGTGTGCTGGCATTTTTACCTGGTGAGGTTTGTTTTTACCTTTTTGGGATGGAGGAGAAACTGTTTGTTAACATATGAGGACCTTGACAGATTAGAGAACTGGGCCAAAACAAACGAGATGAATTTTAACAGGGAGAAATGTAAAGTTTTGCACTTGGGCAAAAAAAATGAGAGGCACAATACAAGATGGGTGACACCTGGCTTGAGAGCAGTACATGTGAAAAGGATCTAGGAGTCTTGGTTGACCACAAACTTGACATGAGCCAACAGTGTGACGCGGCAGCTAAAAAAGCCAATGCAATTCTGGGCTGCATCAATAGGAGTATAGCATCTAGATCAAGGGAAGTAATAGTGCCACTGTATTCTGCTCTGGTCAGACCTCACCTGGAGTACTGTGTCCAGTTCTGGGCACCACAGTTCAAGAAGGACACTGACAAACTGGAACGTGTCCAGAGGAGGGCAACCAAAATGGTCAAAGGCCTGGAAACGATGCCTTATGAGGAACAGCTAAGGGAGCTGGGCATGTTTAGCCTGGAGAAGAGGAGGTTAAGGGGTGATATGATAGCCATGTTCAAATATATAAAAGGATGTCATATAGAGGAGGGAGAAAGGTTGTTTTCTGCTGCTCCAGAGAAGCGGACACGGAGCAATGGATCCAAACTACAAGAAAGAAGATTCCACCTAAACATTAGGAAGAACTTCCTGACAGTAAGAGCTGTTCGACAGTGGAATTTGCTGCCAAGGAGTGTGGTGGAGTCTCCTTCTTTGGAGGTCTTTAACCAGAGGCTTGACAACCATATGTCAGGAGTGCTCTGATGGTGTTTCCTGCTTGGCAGGGGGTTGGACTCGATGGCCCTTGTGGTCTATTCCAACTCTATGATTCTATGAGGAAATGTCACCAAAGCTTTGTCGTTTGGGCTGCAGTTTCTTTGTGTAGAGTTAGGCAGATAACCTTACACATGGCCAGACTATTGGTTCTTTATGGCCAAGTTGCCTGGCAGTGGTTTTCCAAAGACTTGGGCAGAGGTACAGTGGTACCTCAGGTTACATACGCTTCAGGTTACACACTCTGCTAACCCAGAAATAGTGCTTCAGGTTAAGAACTTTGCTTCAGGATGTGAACAGAACTCGTGCTCCAGCGGCGTGGCAGTAGCAGAAGGCCCCATTAGCTAAAGTGGTGCTTCAGGTTAAGAACAGTTTCAGGTTAAGCATGGACCTTTGGAACGAATTAAGTACTTAACCTGAGGTACCACTGTATTTCAAATTTCTGCTACCTGATCTCCCCCCACTCTTTTAGATTTAAACTGGAGATGCCGGGGATTATTAAACTTGGGACCTTATCTAGGCACTCCTACGTAAAGGCTTTCCCTTTGAACTCCCGGTTTCAAACAGGGGCCTAGCCAGATGAGCTAAAGTTGATTATGTGCTCTCATTCTGTGGCTCCCTCACTGGGAACAAAAGGGAACAGTTTCATCAAGATTGGCCTTTGCCATTGGCCAGGAGTATGAAGCCTGTGAATTGGTCAGGCCTGGCGCAAATACTAGCTTTCGGCCATTACCTGGTCAACTGAGACCACCTTCCTGCTTAATTTGAGGCTCTAGAAACCGAACACACCCTCCCAAGATAGGGCAACCATCACTCAGCCTCTCAGCCGAGTCTGGAACATCCTGGGCAGTAAATGTTAACAACTTAGGTGAAGGTCACAGGGAATGCAAGGACACAGCGTGATAGCAGGGGTGTGAAATGCGAATGTAAGCCACAATCTGAGCACTTGGCTGGAGAATCAAAAAGTGTGAACGCAAACCAGATAGGAGACGTTTGTTCGGGGCGAAAGCCGCTTGCAGTTGAATAAACAATCTTCCAGATGACTATAAATGATTTTGTACTTCTTTAGCTCCGAGTAAACATGCAGCACACTATTTATCGGTTATTTTTCACCCTCCAGGTTTGGCGGAAATAAATCGCATGCATGAGCTTCTCACGATCATGGCTCACAAGAGGTGAGTCTTAAATCTGTTTATGGTGAGAGGCACTGTGGTGCTAGTCCTGTCAAATAAGGTCATTCTCCCTCCCCACCCCTCAATATATTGCCTTCAGCTGCAGTAAGCTATATGGATAGGACAAAATTAAATGAAGGCCACATGCACTCCCTACATTTAACACATATTTAAAGCATGTGACGACTCCAATGAGTCCTGGAAACTGTAGTTTACCCCTCACAGAAATATAATTCCCAGCACCATTAACAGACTACAGTTCCCAATTCCTTGGGGGGGGGGAGTGTGGATGTGGTTTAAGTGCATGGTATTTGCACAGCCACATTTGATGAAGATAAGAGTTTGGTGTAATAGCACAGAAAGCTTGAGACATGCTGTTTGGGGCAGCAGAAACTATTACCCTACATGTTCTCTTTTACAACTGCGGGCCCCTTGTTTATTTATTCACAGTAGGCGCGCAAATTGCACTCAATTTACTTGTGTGAACGCAGCTTTATGTGCTTGGTGGCCGGCCGATAGCACACAAATTAAATGCATGTAAGGCAGCAAGCTTAAAAGCTCTTTCCACACCTACGATCCACCTGCCTTACCTTGTGTGACCATCCAAGATCTTGCAAAGGCCTCCAGAGCCTGTGCGAGAGTTTCCCAGAGCCCAGTAAGCAAGGCAGAGACCTTGTAAATTCTGGAGAGGTATTGCATGGTTCTGGAGGCCTTTGTGAGATCTCAGATGGCCCCATGAGATCTTGCACAGGCTCTGGAAGGTAAGATTGCTTGTGCAGGGGTGGTTCCAGGGGACTGACTATATGAGATTTCGGCTTTACATGCTACCCCCGCCCCCAAAATAACCCCTTCACAAGATCCAGTTTTATTTACTGCCCTCTTGCAAAACATCAGGGTGATGTGTAGCAACATAAAAAACTGCAAAAGCAACACAGAGCAATCATTAAACCAACTTAAGAAAATTTTAAACAACTGCTTGGGCCCTTTTGTGGGAATAAAAAGTCTTTGAGAGATGCCTGGAAGTCAAAAGCAAGGATGCCTGCCAAATCTCTGCTGGAAGTTTCCAAACCATGGGACCAGCAGTGCCAGTGTCTGGTTGTGCCCTTCCATTGCTACTGGGGCCACTTCCAGAATGTCACTATTTTGCCAGTGGGTTTCAGTTGTACGCGGTCAAATTTAGCTTGCACAGTTAAAGTGGGGTTGGTGTTCTTGTACAACAAACTTATCTCCACCCCGCAGGACTTTCTGCACTAAGGCAGGTGGCAGCAAAGTGCGCTGGGATAAGGGTTCTTGAGGCGGTATAATACCAGTGCAAACAAATCACAGCGATAGCTCGGTAAACAGCGGGCATCCGATTACCTCCCGGCAAACTTTGTGTAAATATATAGAGATGAATTCCACATAAAAATATATAGAGATGAATTCCACTGCGGGAGGCAGTGGAAGACAGGAGTGCCTGGCGTGCTCTGGTCCATGGGGTCACAAAGAGTCGGACACGACTAAATGACTAAACAACAACAACATAGAGATGAATGCTCAATAAGCAGGTGGTTTGGAAGAGCCGCAAGTTTCTCAAATGTGTTTCCTTAGGTTGCAAGTATATCCGCTGCATTCCAGCGTCACCTTAGAAGAACAGAATAATGTGTTCTTGGCTCCAGTTCCTGGTTACCGAAAGGTGAGATTTTTGAACCATGGCTTCAGTAGTATTTGTTAACTCATAAATCTCTTTTTACATGCATCTCAAGGCTTATTTACAAACATGCTAAGATGCCCAGTTTTTTTTTTAAATTAAAGTAGCTATTGCAGACCATCCACATGCAACCCATATAGTCTTCTCATCTAAATAGCTTGGGGTTAGGATACCTGAAACATTATCTATTCCCATAGCTGCCTACCTGGACAGGAGGTCAGTTTCTGAGCCCCTTCTCCAGGTGCCTTATCCAAATAAGAAGCACCGGATGGCTGCTGGAGACGAGGACTTCTTGGTGGTGGCTCCTGGTTAGAAAATGTGCTTGCCTGGTGCCCACATTATTATGGTTCTTTGGGTGCCTGGTGAACACATTTTGATTTTCTCCCAGGGTTTGAAATTAATCTTTTGCCGCTGTTTATGATTTTGCTTTTGCTTATGGTGTCTTTGTCTCTCTTTATATCTGTCATGGATGCTTTAGCTGAGATTCTTGTATTGAAAGGGGGTTGGACTAGTTGACCTTTGGGATCCCTTCTGGCTCTAAAGTCCTATGATTCTACTTGGTCATATATGCTGTATATAAATAACAGTAATAATTTTTGCTGTGATTATTTGCTTTCTTGTGTTTTTTTTTTTTAGGCTTGCATTTTTATATTAAGCCTGGTAAATTGTATTGTTGTTGAGCAGCCTTTAAATGCCGTTAATTAAATCAATCATGTAAATCGTTAAATAAATAATTTCTTATTTCCTCTTTTTAAAAACCTTCATTTAGATCATTCTGTCTACAAACATTGCAGAGAGCTCTGTAACAGTTCCAGATGTCAAATACGGTAAGCATGTTTTGATGCATTATGGTCATAGGAATAAAAATAAATATTTGTATGTTCTGCTTTTCTTTTCTTTTCCTCTAGCACTATTGATAAATCAACATTTAAAACCCTTTGAGCTGCTTGCTTCAGAGTAACTTCTGAGCATAAGGTCCCTGGGTCCCTCTTTTACTATGTAAGGCAGAATTGCTAAAGTATTTTTCTCCCTGTCTCGGAGCTCTCTCAACGGCACATTTAAAACTAGGATGGAGTGTTCTCTGTGCCAAAAATTCAAATTCTGCCCCAAGGAAAAGTTTTATTTTGTTCAGAGAGAAAGTCAGGAAGAGGGAGTTATTTATGGCTTTTGGCAATAACTACTCACATTAAATTAGGTATATTATTTTAATTTACTGTGATTCATTCAATTTGCATAAAATCAAATGCACTTGCTTCGGGTGCTAGTTTGGTAGGCACCAGAAAGGTAAAGAAGGGGGGAGGTTGTAGGACAGAGAAGTGGGGAGTAGCGTTTATTGTATTCATGCAGTGGTTAGGATGTGTTGAGTAGATGTAAGGGAGCTCCTCGCGTATACAGAAGCCTGGCTTTTTGAGTCTTTTGCAGACAAGTTGCTTGCATTTTTTTACCATAGGGGCTAGAAACTTGAGCTTTTAAAAGTAGAGATTGACAGCTCTTGGCAAGCCAAATATTATAATGTTGCATGGAGTATAATGGTCACAAGGCAGAGGCCATTAGCCATACCAAACTTGTGCAGAAACCAGTGACACTTACAACACTATTTTTAAAGTATCACCGTTCTGCAGCACTTTGATTCTTCCAGCTTCTGGGTTGTACACAAATTGCTCACAACCAAAGAATGTTAAGCCAACCCAAGTTGGGTTCTTAAGTGCTTTTGATTTCTGTGAGGTTCAAGTGTGTGTGTTTTTTAACTTTCGTAGCTTCAACACTCGCTGTTTAGTCTGGAACTGCCATCCTTGGTTCGCTCGCTTTTCTTTAAATAGGGAAGTCAGGAAATATCATTGGCAACCCGGTACATTCTAGTGTGTTCTATATTGTATCTGTATTTCTCTTTCACATCTGATTTGCGGAGATTTTGTCCATTTCAAGTGGAATTGTCGCTCCAGCCTGTCAGATGAAGACTACCGAACTTTTCAGCGCTACTGTACTGTTCAGTTGAAGGTTCCTCCCTTTGCCATCTTCCCATGCCATTGCTTGCTGCCTAGTGGAGATATGGCATCGTTGACTCTCGTTTTATTGACTATTAGTATGCATGCCTTAATTACAGGTTTACTTGAATTACATTTTCTTTTCTTTTTGAAGGAAAGCGAAGAAAACTTAACCAGGAATTGAAGAGCACACAGGCTGCTCAGAAAAGAGCAGACTAATTAAGTTGCAATTTAGTGCTTTAGTAACCCTAATGATAATAATAATAATTTATTATTTATACCCCGCCTATTTGACTGGGTTTCCCCAGCCACTCTGGGCGGCTTCCAACCGAATATTAAAAACAACACAGCACCAGACATTAAAAACTTCCCTTTAAAAGTAAAGTAGTTGTTTATTTCCTTGACATCTGATTGGAGGGCGTTCCACAGGGCGGGTGCCACTACCGAGAAGGCCCTCTGCCTGGTTCCCTGTATCCTCACTTCTCGCAGCGAGGGAACCGCCATAAGGCTCTCGGCACTGGATCTCAGTGTCAGGGCTGGATGATGGAGGTGGAGACGCCCCTTTTCCCTTAGAAAAGAAAGCAAGGGGAAGAAGCCTTGAAGAGGAACCTTCTGACTAAATTTGCAGGGGATCTTATGTTGAATAAGAAGCATCACGAGTAAACATTACAACAAGCATCTTCACCATGGGGAAGGCGTTGCCTGATGACATGGCACCATATGAAGTGTTGTGTGATCTTTTAAAAGTCTGCTTTCAGCCAGTTGCAGAAAAATACGATCACACCAGCACGAAAGGGCTCTAACATAGGAGAAGCCTTTGTGTTGATGTGCGCCCTTGCTTAAGAGCCGTAGGCATCAACTGGCCTAATCTGATAGGAGCATTGCTTTTTAAAAACCAACTCTTTCATATGCTGTATTGCAGTGACGAATGTGTGTGTGTGTGTGTGTGTGTGTGTGTGTCGCTAGAGAGGAAACCTGCTTTGAGGCCCATAAAGTGTGAGCTGACTCTTGGCAGCAACATGAAGCATCTAAACAATTATGCGGAGCGACACAAACGCAAGATCAAGACCTTCCGATTGGCACTAGCAGCTTCTCGACAAAAGGGAGCTCCCTGTCCCTGCTAGGAGAGAAGGAGGCTTGTTTTCACATCCCGCTCTCCATCCTACCCCCACCTCCTTGCAGGCACTTCCTTGATTTTGCCTGGTGGTTTGGTATTGCTGTTTTTGACCTTTGCGCAGGCAGCAGCCCCAAGCTTAGCTGACAATATTCTCATGACCTCTGGTGGTAGCAGCAGCAGCAGCCATGAGGTAAGGAGGAGAATGTCTGTGCCCTTGTCTTAATCTATTCACAGTTGCTTGATTTTTTAAAAGGAAGACAGGCTTTTTCAGTGGGTAGTCAGAATATTCTGCCTGCTGAAAAGCGTGTCTTTTAGAAACGACAGCTCCCTCCATTTTAAATCTGGTCTTGAGTTTAGCAGCTAAAAAAGGTATAACTTCTGCAATGGAGATTACCTCTTTAAAATGCAAGCAAAACCAAACAACAATATCTTTCTTTGGTGTGTTTGTGTGTGTGTGTGTAAAGTTTGCACCAGATTCAGACAGCTGCTACATATTTTAATTAATCACATGTTTATCCCACTCTTATGATCCTTCAGCAGGGATGTAAGAAGTCATCATTTTCTGTCCCGCCCTGCATTTATCCCATGCAACACTGCTTCAGTTCCGCTTCAGTTCATCTTCTGCAAAAAGCGCATTACTCATTCTCCGCTGTGGCGAAATTATGTTGTCCTAATGTTCTTCCTAATGTTAGGGACGCGGGTGCCGCTGTGGGTAAAAGCCTCAGCGCCTAGGGCTTGCCGATCGAAAGGTTGGCGGTTCGAATCCCCGCGGCGGGGTGCGCTCCCGTTGCTCGGTCCCAGCGCCTGCCAACCTAGCAGTTCGAAAGCACTCCCGGGTGCAAGTAGATAAATAGGGACCGCTTACTAGCGGGAAGGTAAACGGCGTTTCCGTGTGCTGCGCTGGCTCGCCAGATGCAGCTTTGTCACGCTGGCCACGTGACCCGGAAGTGTCTCCGGACAGCGCTGGCCCCCGGCCTCTTAATTGAGATGGGCGCACAACCCTAGAGTCTGTCAAGACTGGCCCGTATGGGCAGGGGTACCTTTACCTTTAATGTTCTTCCACTTTGTTCACTTGAGTGCAAAGGAAGCACAATGCAAATAAGGGGAAATCTAATTAATTAAATACTGTTTGCAGACCGAAAGCAACAGCAGTGAATGCAGATTGTATTCAGTGGAGTGATTTTCATTCTGGACGTGGGACGAATAAGCGAACATTGGCAATTTCTGCTCCTGTTTCTGTTGAAATTCTCCATCTTTACTCTTCAGTGAGGCATACGTGCTTCTTATTCTCTGTCTCCTCTTACAATCCTCTCACAACAGCCCCGTGAGATGAATTAGAGAGTTACCCACATCTTTTTGCGGGTTCATTCTAAGTCAGGGGTTGGCAAATTTTTTCAGCAGGGGGCCGGTCCACTGTCCCTCAGACCTTGTGGGGGACTGGACTATATTTTGGGGGGGAAATGAATGAGGGATGATGAGCGGCGTGCAAAAGGGCTCCGGAGAGGGACTCCTTTAAATGGCGGTTGCTCGAGAGGGGCGCTCAGCCAACAGCGGCTCTTGTGTCTTGCGAGCAGCAGGCGGCTGTGGCGATCACACAGGGCCCCCGGACGTTTGACAGTCTATCGACCCTGTGCCACCATTGTGATTGCTTTCTTCGCTGCCACCAACCCGTTTCTCCTCACGGGTACATACGGAGTCCAGTCAGTTGTTAACGTTAACAAATAATCAAGTTTATTTCTAGGCATGAACAAGCTTATGGTTTCAGTTAATTCTTCTTGGCAGTTTCTTAATCTTAGTTCCTTAACTGTCCTATTCGTTCCTAACAACTTCAAACTGATTATCCCAACTAATTATCTATTTGACTCCACCTAACAATTCCTCTCACAACACAACTCGACCAACCCACAGACTGTTCCTCCCTCCTCCTCCTTCAACTCCCAACTCTCAACTAACTTTCACACAACTCCCCCTCTAACCCTAACGCCTCCTATCAGTTTCCACTGGCCAATCACATCGCACTCATTTTAACCCTTTCCTTATGGAGGCAAATGCCACAGCGGCGGGATGATGAGCGGCTCGCAAAAGGGCTCCGGAGAGGGGCTGCTTTAAATGGCGACCGCTCGAGAGGGGTGCTCAGCCAACAGCGGCTCCTGTGTCTTGTGAGCGGCAGGGGCTGGTGGTGGGGGACGATGAGCAAAGCATGAAAGGGCTCCGGAGAGGGGTTGGCACCAACAAAGCCCAGCCCCCTTCCTCCTCTAGGCAGGGCGGGGAGAAGCCAGGAGGAGGGAGGGAGGAGGCGCTGCTGCTGCTGCGTATGTGTGCGTGGGAAATGGCACAATCCAAGCAATCAGAATCAGATGCACGCCTATCCGCGCGGCGATTCCTGGACCGTCCACGGGCTGGATTCAGAAGGCAATTGGGCCAGATGCAGCCCCCGGGCCTTGGTTTGCCGACCCAAGTTCTAAGTCATGGTTTGGCATAGCCTTGCTTGCATTCTGGGCCAGTGGCTGGCGTGAGCTTCATGTCTGCGTGGGATTTGAACCTGGGTCCCCGCACCCCCCAGTTACCATCAAACATTTTCTAACCCAGGGATTGGGCACCTGTGGACCTCCAGAAGTTGTTAGACTCTCACTCCCTTCATCCCCAGCCAGTCTGGCCCCGATGATCGGGGATGTTGGGGGCTGCAGACTCCTAGAACCATAGAATTTTAGAATTCTAGAGTTGGAAGGGACTCCAAGGGTCATCTAGTCCAATGCCCTGCAATGCAGGAATCTCAGCTAGATCATCCATGTCAGATGACCATCCAAGCTCTGCTTAAAAACCTCCAAAGAAGGAGAGTCCACCACATCTTGGGGGAGTCTGTTCCACTGCTGAACAGCTCTTGCCTTCATACAGTTCTTTCTGATGCTTAGTCGGAATCTCTTTTCATGTAACTTGAATCATTTTGGGTCTTATCCTTTGGAGCAGGAGAAAAGAAGCTTGCTCTGTCTTCCATGTGACAGCCCTTAGATATTTGAAGATGCTTATCATACCGTATTGGCCCGAATATAAGCCACACTTTCCCCCCAAATTTCGACCATGAAAGGTTATGACTGCCCCCAATTGAGCCAGGTTGAACACAGTTTCTTGTAATGCAACGTGCCGTTTCAGAGCATCACTCCTCTGTTTTGCATAGTCTTTTCCTCTCTTTTGTGTGTGTTAAAAGGTAAAGGTAAAGGTACCCCTGCCCATACGGGCCAGTCTTGACAGACTCTAGGGTTGTGCGCTCATCTCACTCTAGAGGCCGAGAGCCAGCGCTGTCCGCAGACACTTCCGGGTCACGTGGCCAGCGTGACAAGCTGCATCTGGCGAGCCAGCGCAGCACACGGAACGCCGTTTACCTTCCCGCTAGTAAGCGGTCCCTATTTATCTACTTGCACCCGGGGGTGCTTTCGAACTGCTAGGTTGGCAGGCGCTGGGACCGAGCAACGGGAGCGCACCCCGCCGCGGGGATTCGAACCGCTGACCTTTCAATCGGCAAGTCCTAGGCGCTGAGGCTTTTACCCACAGCGCTACCCGCGTCCCTTTGTGTGTGTTATCTTACATTAAACCAACATTTGCATTGCAGAAGCACAGTTTTATTCCCTAAACTTTGTTCATTCTTATTTATTTATTTTTGTAGTCATTGATTTCTGTTTGACCAAAAATCTTGTCTGTGATGAAGAGACCAACTATCAAAGCTTGAGGCTGTGCTGGGCTTCTAAAAGCAGCAGTAATCAGAGGAGGGGTAAGGATGGTGCTGATGTAAAGTTATTATTATATTATTATTCATTTTGTTTGTATATCACTTTATATTTTAAAGACAAACTCTGAAAGTGGTTTACAACACATTAAACCATCAAATAAAACAATCCAGAATACAGTGGTACCTCGGGTTACATACGCTTCAGGTTACATACATTTCAGGTTACAGACTCCACTAACCCAGAAATATTAATCTCAGGTTAAGAACTTTGCTTCAGGATGAGAACAGAAATCGTGCTCCGGCGGTGCGACGGCAGCAGGAGGGCCCATTAGCTAAAGTGGTGCATCAGGTTAAGAACAGTTTCAGGTTAAGTACGGACCTCCGGAACGAATTAAGTACTTAACCCGAGGTACCACTGTAAAACAAATCCTAGCTTCAAGGAGGATGCAGAACTACAGACCAGAGTGCAAAGAGACTTGTTCTATAATGAAGTTTGCATGGGGCGGATTTGTCTGATGGGTTTGGAAGGGCTCTATTCCTTTTCTCTTTTTTTGCCCTTCCAAAGGCTGCAAAATTCAGGAAAGATCCAAAAGGCCCCTAGGACCCCAGTGTCTCCCTATTGCTGGTGCCTCTGTGGATGATTGATTCTTTTGTCCATTTTTGAGCATAAGGCTTAAATGAAAGCAAGCAGGCAGCATTTGTGGGATACGGCAAGCTCTCCTCTCAGGAGTAGCCACTGTTAAGGAAGTTTTAAGCTCAAATGTAACCAGTCAAAGCAGCTTATGTCTTTTCTGTGAAGGTCGTGCTGGACGTGTTTCTAAAGGATACTGCTACAGGCTCGTGTACAAGGACTTCTGGGAAAACTGTATACCTGAGACCACCTTGCCTGAGATGATGGTAAGAATCACACACAATATATGTATACCTGCCAATTTCGGTTTCTCTCAGTGCCTCGTTTTTCCAGATCTTAAATTCAGTTCTCCACATTTCCGCAACAATTTGTGAATTTCTTCCCACGAGAATCTGGCAGCAATTTGCTGCACATCTTTCCCAATACACACGTTTTTGCATGCAGTTTTGACTAATAAACACATTTTTGCAAACCGTTTCCTCCAATATACAGTGGTACCTCAGGTTACATATGCTTCAGGTTACATACGCTTCAGGTTACACACTCCGCTAACCCAGAAATAGTGCTTCAGGTTAAGAACTTTGCTTCAGGATGAGAACAGAAATCGTGCTCCAGCAGCGCGGCAGCAGCAGGAGGCCCCATTAGCTAAAGTGGTGCTTCAGGATAAGAACAGTTTCAGGTTAAGAACGGACCTCGGGAAAGAATTAAGTACCGTATTTTTCGCCCTATAGGACGCACTTCCCCCCCTCCAAAAATGAAGGGGAAATGTGTGTGCGTCCTATGGGGTGAATGCAGGCTTCAGGAAGCTATCTGCAAGCCTAGGGAGCCCGGCACGAAGTCACACAGCTCTCCCAAGGCTTGCGGAGAGCTGCCTGCATCCTGAAGCCTGGGGCACGCTGAGCTCAGCGCGCCCCAGGCTTCGCCGGGCTCCCTAGGCTTGCGGATAGCAGCCTGTTCTGGGGGCTGGGGTCGGGGGAAGCTTGGGCTTCCCCCGCCCCAACCCCGCGCCTGGGGGGGAAAATAATTCCCCCCCTTTATTTCCCCCCCAAAAACTAGGTGCGCCCTAAGGGACGGTGCGCTGTATGGGGCGAAAAATACAGTACTTAACCTGAGGTACCACTGTAGTGCATTTGGGTATTTGCATGCTTATACACACTTTACTCAGATATAATGCATTTTTGTGCACGTTGTTTGGAGAAGCGCAAATTCTGAGGGGTAGTAGTGTTTTGGTATGCATATAGGGTTGAGAAGTGTGAACTGGGTGCTGTCCAATTAAAATGCAAGCAAAATCAATTTTCTAGACATGCCCCTTTGAGTATGTGCCCTGGGTCTTGCGGGTGGGCTTCCTGACAAAACAATTCCTCACTTAGCTTGAGAAGGTTTTGATCTTCTGAGGAGGCACCGAACCCCAATGTGGGACCGTGCAGATGTCCAAGGAGCCACAGTTACAGGTGAGCAACCTGTCTCTCCTGCTTGCTATGTCTGTCAGGAGATTGATGGCCTGGTTTGTACATCGCCTCAAACTGTAGTTTAGCTTAAAACTATGGTTCACATCTAGATCTGACATCATGGGTGCTTCACTTTTTCTCTGCTGCTGCTGCTGCTTCCAGAAAACCAAGTCATGGTCTGGCTTAATGTATTGTCCAAACCAGAACTTGCATGTGTTTTCTCTCCAAGCAAACCACAAACAAGTAGCCAAGGTTTGTTCTTGTTTTTATTATGTATTTTGTGTTTCTTACCTTTTTTTTATGTGGTGAACTGCCCAGATGAAGGGCCAGTATAAAAATTTAATAAATATACCCTATTTTTCGCTCCATAAGACACACTTTTTCCCTCCTAAAAAGTAAGGGGAAATGTGTGTGCATCTTATGGAGCAAATGGCGCTGTGCAGAGAGGTAGAGCTGCGCAGCGCTCCTTCAGCGAAGCGGGAGGAGGAACGGAGCCCCTTCTGTTCCCCCTCCCGCTTCGCTGAAGGGGCGCTGCGCAGCTCTCCCTCTCTGTGCAGAGCCTGTCCTGGAAGCCGGATTAGGAACAGAAGGGACTCCTTCTGTTCCTTCTCCAGCTTCGCTGAAGGGGCGCTGCGCAGTTCTCCCTCTCAGAGAGGGAGAACGGCACAGCGCCCCTTCAGCAACGCGCCTGTCCTGGCTTCTGCCATAGCCGTGCGCAGCCTCTTCGGGCAGGGGGAGCCTTCATCCCGCTGCCCTGAAGAGGCTTGGCGCGGTTATCCCAGAAGCCAGAACAGCCACACGGTATCCCAGAAGCCAGTTCCCTCTTGCAGTTCTGGCTTCTGGGATTCAGAATAATGTTTTCTTGTTTTCCTCCTCCCAAAACTAGGTGCGTCTTTTGGAGCGAAAAATACGGTATACGAAACGAAAGGTGCTTTCATGGCTTACTGTTTATTGGTTACCTGGAGAAAATGGACCACAAGCCCAGGTTTCTGCCGTAACGCTAAGCCGGGCCATGACTTATTCCTCGCAGCGTGGCAGGAGCAGAAGAGTAGCAAAGCACCCACGGCCTTAGATGCGCTTGCTTGCTGCGCATTCACATTTAGTTACGGCTTAAAGTGATGTGTGAACATGGCCACTGTCAGGAGATTATTACTGCGCCTCCCCCCCCAGTATGATTTGCTCAGCCCAGAAAGTAAAGACGAACATCTTTCCAGCCGCCCGCGAAGAGATTTGCAACACAGAATCACATTTGTCGCCACTGTGCTCTTATTCTTCCTTTCAGCGGCGCCCACTGGAAAGTACCGTGCTGAAGGTGAAGCTGCTTGACATGGGCGAACCGAGGGCCTTGCTAGCAACCGCTCTGTCTCCTCCCAGTATAAGCGATATTGAGCGCACTGTTCTGCATCTCAAGGAGGTTGGGCCCTTCTATTTTGATATATTAAATCTCAGAAACAGGGAAGGCATCCGCTATCCCTCAGCCACGCCCTTCTCTGGGCCCAAGTGTTTTTGCCTGGCTTCAGCGGGCAAGATTGATCTAATATGCCTCTCCAGCAGAAGCTCTCTGCAAAGACTTCCCTTGTGCGACAGGGCATCCTCTCCTCTCCCCACGCTCCCCCCAGAATTGGCTCTGGGGTGGGGGTTGGAATTGTTGGGATACTGCCAGGGAGACAAAGTCCATCATGGCCCCATGTCGCCCCTGGACGTCCATCGATCTCCCGTAGACACGCAGTATCAGCAATTAGTGACACGAGCTCCAGAAATAGCTTGCCACATTCCAGAGCTGATGCACACTCTTATCAGCAGATAATGCACAGCGAAAGATGCACGCAGGAGAGCATTATTTATAAGTTTATTCTGCGTTAGTCAGAACAGCGAAAAAACATGACCGCCTGCTTCAGTGTTCAGGCACCGAGAGAGAGAAACGAAAGCAATAGAAAACATAAACATCCTGTGAACAGGAAATACGCAGACTCTGTGACTCACAAAGCCTGCTCCCTTTTAAGGTGGAACGGAAATATCCTAACAGGAATAACCCCCGGAGCAGCATGTGGGGGAGGATTGTTCCGGTGGGAAGGTCACAACACCATGATGTTGAATGGCACCCCATGTCTCCATGAACCAAACGCTTCTTGCTTGTTTGGATTTAGGATCAAGGGTGTCGGTATGTAGAATGTAGTCTGCTGTACAAAGGTGAAATTTATATTAGTTGCAGTGCCCACTTTTCCCTCTGGCGTGTGGCCCCCAGAAGGCAATATGGCCCTCAGTCTGAGAACACTTTCCCACCTGTGTGCTGATCGGTTGAAAAAACTCCTTTTTTTGGTTGTACATGCTCAAATAGTACAGTGGTACCTTGGTTTAAGAACAGCCCTGTTTACGAACGATTCGGTTTACGAACTCCACAAAACCAGAAGTAGTGTCCCGGTTTGCAAACTTTACCTCGGTCTATGAACGGAATCCAAATGGTGGAAGGGCACCAGCGGCGGGAGGCCTCATTAGGGAAAGCACACCTCAGTTTAAGAATGGTTTCGGTTTAAGAACGGACTTCCGGAACGGACTAAGTTCGTAAACCGAGGTACCACTGTATTGTTTTTAACATTGACAACTGCAAAAGCAGGCATAAGGAAGAAGAACATGGTGAGCAGAGCGCTTTTATTTTCTTCTGACGGAAAACTTTTGTTTCTGACTGTTACTGAATTTTACAGTATTGTTGCATTATCTTTTAGATTTTTAAAACTAATGGTTGTTGTTGTTGTTATTGTTATTAATTTATTGAATTTATATACTGCCCTATACCCAGAGGTCTCAGGGCAGTTCACATAAAAAGATCACAGTAATGGTGGTTCTCTTAAAAAAAGTACGCCGTGTGCCACTCTGAGACCTCAGGGAGGAACACAACCAGATGCACAACACCATTGTAAAATGGATGAAGCACTCAATAAGTATTGTATCAGAAGACGAGGCCAACATGTCCTGGAAGAGGTCATGTTCCCTCTTAGTTCATCAGTTGTGCGTGGGTTTTGACGGATACAATAGCGCAGGCCTGACAATAATTATTTGCAGGTTTGGAATATATATTTTAGGGGATTCTTAATTTTAGCCTTGAGCTTTGTGATTGTTGGCAAATCAGTTTCCCATTAACACCTATCTTTGCTTGCGTTTTGGTATAGATAGGAGCACTTGCTGTCCATTCAGAAGCAAAAAACCCTTACGATGGTGAGCTGACCTTCCTAGGCAGGGTGTTGGCACAGCTACCTGTGAACCAGCACCTTGGCAAACTAATGGTTCTTGGCCACGTTTTTGGGTGCCTGGAAGAATGCATTATAATAGGTAAGTTGGACAACAGAGTAAGTATAGTTAATGCCTTAAGCTGGAAGTTGCATACCTAGGTTACTAAAGGTTTTCCTGGTAACCTCAATATTCATGGTGCTTTAAAAATCATGGTGCTTTTTAAAATTTTTAAGTAAGGTAGTTGTCCAAAGGAGCTTACAGAAGGGTTTCCCAAACTTGGGTTGCCAGCTGTTTTTGGTGTTCGTTGTTGCATTTTAGTGTTCTGTTGGAAGCCGCCCAGAGTGGCTGGGGAAACCCAGCCAGATGGGCGGGGTATAAATAATAAATAATAATAATAATTATTATTATTACAACTCCCATCATCCCTAACTAGCAGGATCAGTGGTCAGGGATGATGCGGAAGTAAAATTTGGATCCTAGACCTCTTTTTGTGAAGGAGAGGTGGGGTACAATTTTTAGAATTAAACCCATTTCTTTCTCTTTCAGCTGCTGCCCTCTCTTTGAACAACTTCTTTGTAATACCTTTTAGGCAGCATCTTGATGGATACAGGTATTTTTCCATGGGCTGTCATTTGATTTTTTTAAAAAAGAAAATTTCAGTGGGTCAGTTAGCCAGTGAAATCTACATAAGCTTGCATATAAATACAAAAATAGTTGGAAGAAAAGGGCGCACTTGCTTTGTTTTCAGATGATGTATGTTAGTATTGCATGAGGTGGATGAATCCCTTCTATTTGAAGGTTGGTGGGCAGGGGAACAGAATATCTATTACAGTGGTGCCTTGCAAGACGAAATTAATCCGTTCCGCGAGTCTCTTCGTCTTGCGGTTTTTTCGTCTTGCGAAGCACGGCTATTAGCGGCTTAGCAGCTATTAACGGCTTAGCGGCTTTAAGAAAAAGGAAACAAACTCGCAAGAACTCGCAAGACGTTTCGTCTTGCGAAGCAAGCCCATAGGGAAATTCGTCTTGCGGAACAACTCAAAAAACGGAAAACCCTTTCGTCTAGCGAGTTTTTCGTCTTGCGAGGCATTCGTCCTGCGGGGCACCACTGTATATGAACTAAGGGGGGGGGAGTGCTAGGAAATTGGTGTGTTTGGACCTGTTACGCCAAAAAAACAGATGGAGTCGCACCAAAGTTATATTTTGATCCGCCATCTTGTGTGTCTTCACCTGTTTTCCATTTTGGCTGAAGAAAAGCATTTAAAACTTGGCAGTCGAGGCTGCAACCCTGAACATAATTTCCTTGCAGCTAAGTCTGCTGCAGTGGATCTTCTTTCTGAAGGGACGTTACTTAATTTGCTGTTTTATTTTATCAGGACCGGTACTTGCATACAGGTGTTCCTTTGGTGTTTCAGAGGCAGTAGCCAAAAACGTATTTAAAAAAGTAACGGTGTTGTAAAACTGTAAATCGTGACAACTGCTCTTTAACTTTATAACAATTTGCGGTGAATTGTTTACAGGAATAAACGGCATTTTTCTGGGAATAGCAAGAGTGACTGTATTGCACTTCTGGATGCCTTTAAGGTAACTGTTTTCCCCCACTACCCGCAAATTATGTTCCCATTTGCTGCTAACAACTGGTGTCACCATTAAGGGGGGGGGACCACCACTTAGCTGGGGGGCTTGCTTCCAGGGGTCCACACACAAAGGCGAAATCAGGAACCTCTGGAACGGTTCCCCGCCCCCCATAAGGCAGAGGGCTCCTTACTGGAATCTAGGAAGGCCCCTTCCCAGTAAGCGAGTAGGCGCCTTCCTTATTGGCCTTTGGGTTGTTCCCAGAGTCCTCTCACCTCCTTCCCAGACGCTGGGGTAAGGACGGCAACGCCTTACTTTCCAGGCTTTGGGAAGGTGGTGCAAGGGCTCTGGGATGCTCTCGGAGCTCTCCTGTCCCCTTTCCAAAGCCCAGTAAGTGAGGAAAACATGCTGGGTGGGAAAGAAAATGGAGAGTGGTGGGTTTATTGTTCATTTAAAGGTAAAGGGACCCCTGACCATTAGGTCCAGTCGTGGCCGACTCTGGGGTTGTGGTGCTCATCTTGCTTTATTGGCCAGGGGAGCCGGCGTACAGCTTCCGGGTCATGTGGCCAGCATGACTAAGCCGCTTCTGGTGAACCAGAGCAGCGCACGGAAATGCCGTTTACCTTCCCGCCGGAGCGGTACCTACTTATCTACTTGCACTTTTGTGCTTTCAAACTGCAAGGTTGGCAGGAGCAGGGACCGAGCAACGGGAGCTCACCCCATCGCGGGGATTTGAACCGCCGACCTTCTCATCGGCAAGCCCTAGGCTCTGTGGTTTAGACCACAGCGCCACCCATTTACCACCTGCCATTTCAAATAGGCATGGCTCCCCCCCCTCCAAAGAATCGTGGAGACTGTAAATGGACCCAGATGTTGAATGTGGTTAGGAGACCCCCCCCCAATTCCCCTTGCAGAGCTACAATTCCCAGAGCGGGTTAACACTTCAGTCCCTCTTCCTAGGGAATTCCCAGTACCCAGGATTCCTTGGGGGAAGTTGGGGGCTTAATGTGTGTGGTGTATACAAAGCCCAGGTCTTGCTCTTGTGCATGTGGAGTAATTTGTGCCCAGGCTGTGTTGAAGTGCAAATTACCAAATTATTGTTGTTGGTTTTTTGTTTAAACCTATTCCCTTTCCCCCCTCTTTTTTAGGAATGGCAGGAAAGCAAGAAGAAAGGGAAACTGAGACACCCTAAGGTTAGCTTAACTTGTCAGTTAACTTGTCAGTCTGGACTATTTAATTGCTGGGCACCCAGACTTAGCCTTTCAAGTAGTACCAGGCCTGGCTTTCAGATCTGTGGTTGGTTTATTTATTGAGCTTTTAGGTCCACATTCAGGATCCCAGGAAGGAGTTTAAAACCTGAGCCATTGCCATACACAACCGATAAAAACATGAATAAAACACTAACACTATGTAAGTAGCAGAAAGTTAAAATAAAACAACACCTTAAAAAGCTCGCAGCAACCAGAAATTATGCTAAGACCTCGAAACTATCATACTCCTTATGACTAGATCCTAACACCAGACTGATCCTTTGACTTTACAATACATTATTTTCCTCGTACATTTTTTCGCTCTCTGTGCCTTCTCTAAAGAAGCTTGTTTATGATGTAACATTGTTTTCTTTCTGCGTTCATTCTGCACTCTCTTCTGTTTTTCCTTTGCAGTTATGTCATTTTGACTTGTGATATCTGTAGTAATGGGAAATTCAGTTCAACATCAATCAGATTCCTCCAAACACCTGGGTGAACAGCAGGCATGGCCAGATCTGTCAATTCTGGTTTCTCTCTCCCCCCTCTCATTTTTCCAAACTCAGCTCTCCTTATTTCTCCATATAGCCACATCAGTTTGCATTAAAATAAATAAAATAAAGCCATCCAAAGTCATCAAAAGCATTTTAGTGTGCCTTTCTCCTAACACACACTTTTGAAATGCGTTTCTGAAACTGAACCGAATTTCTACTTCATCCCTAGTGAACAGATACATTTCCCCCTGATTATATAGGAGCCACCGCTACCTCCATACGAAAAAGCATTATTATATCAGAAGAAATTGCTTAGCAAACGTGTGTATAATTAGGAGAGATTTGTCCTAAAATGCTGATGAATTTGCATGAGGATTGGGGGAGGGAATAAATCAAAATGATGTGGTGATGGGAGGATTGGAAAAACGAGAAACCAAAAATTCATATTTATTATTTAGTTCATAAAATTGAATACACTGCTTGATTATGGGGGGAAACCAAGAACCTCAAAGTGGTTCACAAAAAGATAAAACAACAAAGTCAATAAAAATCCACAACCTTACAACTGTTAAAATACTGCAACAGATTCAAATTGCCTCAACTTTCTAAGCATCTGGGTAGGTTTGTTGAAGCAAGAATGTGTTCAGTAGGGGCCAAAAAAAGTACAGTGGTACCTCGCAAGACGAATGCCTCGCAAGACGAAAAACTCGCTAGACGAAAGGGTTTTTTGTTTTTTGAGCTGCTTCGCAAGACGATTTTCCCTATGGGCTTGCTTCGCAAGACAGAAATGTCTTGCAAGTTTGTTTCCTTTTTCTTAACACCGTTAATACAGTTGCGACTTGACTTCGAGGAGCAACTCATAGCACGCGGTGTGGTAGCCTTTTTTGAGGTTTTTGAAGACTTTGGTGATTTTTGAAGCTTTTCCAAAACTTTCCCGACGCCGTGCTTCGCAAGACGAAAAAAATCGCAAGACGACAAAACTCACAGAACGAATTAATTTCGTCTAGCGAGGCACCACTGTACAGTGAAAGTGCCTGCTTGATCTCAGTAGGCAGGGACAAATTGACATATCCACCCGTCCCTACCGGCAACATCCTGGAAGTTTGGGTGCTGACATGAGCTCATAGAATCATGGAATAGTAGAGTTGCAAGGGACCCTGGGGGTCATGACTCCAACTCCCTGCAAGGAACCTTTTTTTGCCCAATGTGGGGCTCGAACCCACGACCCATAGATGAAGAGTCTCATGCTCTACCAACTGAGCCATCCCAGATTACCTCCACGGGATGCTTTATGAGCAGAGATGGGCTTAAGGGGTTGAAGAAACTTTCCATGGACCCCTTGGACTGGAATTAACTACCCACCAGTTGCCTCCTTTTTGCTGAAGGTGGTGGAGAGCAAAGAGGTTTTGCATGCTTTTTAGCCTCTTAGCTTCCTGGCTTTCTCCCGCAGGATGAGCTCGACTGGGGTCGTTCCAACTACATTCACATTAAGAGAATTAGAGAGGTGAGTTGGACGCGCGTCTTTGGTTTTCTTTCCCCCAATAATACAAAGTACCTGGGCAAGAAGAGGCCTGCTGGATCAGACCAAAGGTCCATCTAACCCAGGCTTCCTCAAACTTGGCCCTCCAGATGTTTTTGGCCTACAACTCCCATGATCCCTAGCTAGCAGGAACCAGTGGTCAGGGATGCTGAGAATTGTAGTCTCAAAAACATCTGGAGAGCCAAGTTTGAGGAAGCCTGATCTAGCCCAACAATCTGGCTGATCAGATGCCTGCAGGAAGCCCACAAGCAAGACATAAGGCCAACAGCTGTATCTGTGCATGTGTGTGTATTACACACACACAAGTTCCTTCATACTTAATCCACATGAAAACCATACAAGCACCCTCATTGTTTGTGGGATGTTGTTCGCTTACTCATTTCAATGCCAGGAGCTCTTAAGCAGCTCCCCTCAGACAAACATCACATTTTACAATTGCAGAGTGAGACCCGACTATGGGGTTCCCATGATAACCACAACCTGATAAGCTTTTTTGCTTCATTTTTAATTTGTCTCACCATTACATTTATACCTCAGCTTTCCTCCAGAGGGAGCTCAAGGTTTCACACGCAGCTACCCCACTTTTCCTCGTTTTATCTTCCCAACACCCTTTTAAGGTGGGTTGTGCTGAGAGAGCCATCACCTGGGCCCAAGAGTCTCCCCATTCCTAGCCCAACACTCTATTTTTTTTGTTTTGTTCTAACTGTTTGTGCTTTCATGTTGCATTTTTATCTTGCGAACTGACCTGAGATCTTTGGATGAAGGGTGGTATATAAATTTTATTGGTTGTTGTTGTTGCTTGTCAAGACCCCGAGGCCTCCCCCTTATGTTGAATAATAACACAAAGACATAGTATTTTAGGTTAATGGGGCAAATTTAGGCGACAACTTCATTGGTTACAGAATGTGAGTGGTATTGGCTTAGGCCAGTGATGGCCAAACTTGTCCCTCCAGCTATTTTTGGACTACAGTTCCTATCATCCCTGACCACTGGTCCTGCTAGCTAGGAGTGATGGGAGTTGTAGTCCAAAAACAACTGGAGGGCCAAGTTTGGCCATCACTGGCTTAGGCATTCGATTTGAACCAACTATGTCTGACTCCTGCCTGCCATGCTGGGAGTCTAGTAAAGGTCAACCACCAATAGGGGGAGCCCTGCTGATGTACATCAACTAGAGCTCCCCCAGGGTCCCCGATGGGGTCGTGGCATAGCCCTAGCCCTAGCCCTACCTGGGCTTTGGACAAAGATCCACACCCCTGGATCCCTTTAATGCAGCTGTTCTCAACCTGTGGGTCCCCATATGTTGTTGGACTACAACTCCCATCATCCCTGAGCTCTGGCCTTGCTAGCTAGGGGTGATGGGAGTTGTAGTCCAGCAACATCTGGGGACCCACAGGTTGAGAACTGCTGCTTGAACGGAACACCCTATAACATGGAGGGGCAGGTGGTGGCCACACCTCCCCTCCCCCAAACCAGGCTTTACCAATGCCTAAACACCAAACCTTACAAAAGTTGTGACGATTCCTACGAGGTAGGCGAAAACCAAATGGCCAGTGCCAGTTTGCCAAGTGGAAAAATTCCTACCAGGCCCCCTCAACAGGCGAGGGTATTTTCAGTAAGGAAGATAATGTAATGGAAAGTTTAATTTCCTAGAGCCCAGTGCTTTTTTCCCTGGAAGTACTTAAGGGTACGCACCACTGGCCCCTTTCCCACCCCCAAATGTTAAAAGTATGGCACTTCGTGTAACAACTCCATGGTGAGTACCTTCACTTTTTTTTCTTAAAAAACTAAAAAACTAAGCCAGCTATAACATTTCCTGCCCTGCCATTCCCTGCTCCCCACAGTGCTCTGCTTTTAAAGAAGCGTGATCGGATGTAGTTCGTTTCATGTAGGACCACAGAAGCCAATGCGTAACTTAGCAAAAACTGTTTAGATTTCCTGCTGCAAACCACGGACAAAGGCCGCTAATGAGTGTGCTTGAATCGCGGTGCTCGGTTACTAAGGTTACCCCGCACTTAACGGAAATTGTTTATCCCCTCTTGAACGTAACGGGTTGCACCCTGAAAGAGTAAATAATGGGGAACCTTCATTGGCAGGGACATGCCTTTCCTCCGCTCAGAGTTTAATTGGGAACATTGCTCCAAGCAAACAAGCCCTTTGATCCAACACACAGGAACGCTGTGGAACTTCTCAGTGCAGCTTTGCAGAGAAAAGTCGCAGCGTTTAATGTGGGACTCGGAGCGTACCCTCTCAGGATGAATTGTTCTTGTGGCAAAGCAGTTTTGTGTCTTGGCCTGCCGCAGTTTTTAGACCCACGTGCTACTCCAAAACTGCAAATAATTTGTAAAAAGATATTTTAAAATAATTTCACTGCTCCCCGTGCTGGCAGCAGCAGCAACGCAACTCTCCTGTTGGTGGGAGAAGGCACTGTTTTTAACACTTGGGTGCAGCATTTTTCTGGGACAGGTAATAAGCATGGCGGCTGAGAGAGGAGTTGTGCGACAGCAAAGTGAAGCTCAAAATAAAAGCTGTATGGAGCTGTTGCAGCCGCTGCTGCTTAAGGCAAGAGGGCAATTCCGGTTCAGTTCCTCCCTTGAGAAGCGCATGATCCGCAAACAGGGCTGCAATAGTCGTGGGCCATTTTGGTGCCACCCTATTAAGGACATAGGTTCCTAGCAAAGGGCTCCTCCCTCCTTCAACTTCTAGGATTCCCTCGTTCATACAATGCTGCTATCCTTCCATCTTACAGCAAACTCAAATGGTGAAAGCCAATAAAAATGGTGCCAGAAAAATAAGGCCACTGAGGTATCGGCATGTTTGGGGAAACCCTAAGGCTTGTAGAAGCAAAAACATAATCTTTTAAAAAACCATTAAGGTCGACCTTTGGGGTCCAGTGAGGGACTGAGCATGTTTGGAAGCCACATAGTACCAATTGAGGAAGAAAAATGGCAAACTGGTCAAGGTGGTGGGAATGACCTCTAAATTGGGTTGTGGCTGACTGGAACTCTGTGGAGATAAACCACAATGGTTTTTTCCTACAAATATTAATTTAGCTTTTGGCCTAGGCCCTTGGTGCCTATGGCATAAATAGATAAGAAATCCTCTTCTAGTGTTGTGCTGTTACATTCATTGTACAGTGGTGCCCCGCAAGACGAATGCTTCGCAAGACGGAAAACCCGCTAGACGAAAGGGTTTTCCGTTTTGGAGGTGCTTCGCAAAACGAATTTCCTATGGGCTTGCTTCGCAAGAAGAAAATGTATTGCGAGTTCCTGCAGGTTTTTTCCCCTCCCCCCCTTTTTCCCAAGCCGCTAAGCCGCTTATCAGCTGATCCGCTAAGCCGCTTAACAGCTGATCCGCTAAGCCGCTTAACAGCTGATCCGCTAAGCCGCTTAGCAGCTGATCCGCTAAGCCGCTAATAGCGCTAATCCACTAAGCCGCTAATAGCGCTAATCCGCTAAGGCGCTAATGGGCTTGCTTTGCAAGACGAAAAAACCGCAAGAGGAAGAGACTCGCGGAACTGATTCTTTTCGTCTTGCGAGGCACCACTGTATTACGTTTGGCGTATATTTTATGCTTGCCTTATCTGTGAGCTGTTCATAATTTTAAAAATAAAATAAAATAAGGGTTTGTTTGTTTTTCAGAGTGCAGAAGAGAGGGAGATGTTTTACCTTAATAAAATTTCCTTTTGATGGTCTTGGGATGTATTGTGCTTAATATTCAGATGTAATTTTTTTAGGTGGCTGAGTTGTATGAGGAGCTGAAAAAGAGAATGGGCGTGTTCAACATGGAGGTCAACCCTCACCCCCCTGCTATGGATCAGGACCATGTGTATAAGCAGCGATTCATTTTGCAGGTGAGATGTCAGGATGTATGAGAGATGTTTTTCTAGATATACATACGCAATATACATACGTCAAATAAAACTTTTTTAAAAATTACACAACAAAACTCAACCATTTCCACATAAATCACAACAAAATCGAAAATAAATATACAAAAAACCACCAGCAACAACCCTCCACCAACAAACCCTTCCAAAGCACCCCAGCCCAAGATTCTGTTTAGCAGCCTCAGCTTTTGTAGCTGGAGTCAATCAGGCCAATTGGAAAAATGCCTGCAAGGCAGGCAGCAGGTCTTCCAGGACTCTTCAGCAGCTTCAGCTTTTGTAGCTGGAGTCAATCAGAGCCCCACACACCTGAGTCCCAATGAAAATCTGTGAAACTTAAAAATAAATCCTTGGTTTCAAAGTGGAACCTCTTTTACTCTTACTGCAAATTGCATTTACGCAACTACAACACATTTGCAAGCCCCACGAAATCAGAGAGTTTGGCTCACGTGTCATTGCAGTGTGACGAATGGCTTACTGCAAGAGAACTGCCACCTCTCCTGAGGCAGTTAACTTTTCCTTCTTCCTTAGGTTGTAATGGCTGGGGCTTTTTATCCGAATTATTTTACTTTGGCGGAACATGATGAAGAAATCGCCGTTCGAGAGATGTCGGGCAAAGATCCCAAAACAACTATAATGGTACAGCTTAACTAAGTTTTGACTCTGCCTTGTGAAGCCATGTTGAAGTGTCCTGTCCCTCTTCCCCGATACTGTTGTTTTAATAATCACATTTCATATATATATATATATATATATATATATATGCTTTCGTAGATTTTCACGGGTACAGGAATGCAGGTTTTGGTGTCCTCGGGTGTCTTCCCGTGTAAAAGTTGGGGTGTCTAGGCGACGTTTCGACGAGGTCTCACTCGTCATCTTCAGGCTGGTGTTTTCGGCTTCTTGTTACTGGAACAGAGCAGGATCTCAGTGTTTGAGTTCCTATAAATACTGTTGAGGAGGTGTGGTGTATAGCCTCCAATGTTCTGGGCAGGGAGGAAGTTCCCAGGCTAGTGTGCCTTTTCTTCTTTTGTTCCTTAATTACTGGAGGGATATCTGGAGTGATTTCTTGAGTGATATCCTGAGTACCACTTGGGTGGGTCATTAGGTGTGGATTAGTTGCTAAAGCCTTCGTGTCTTGACCTCTTGAACTTGGCTTGAACTTGGCTCTGGCTTGGCTTCGTGTATAGGGGCGAGCTGTGGTTTTGTGGCCTGTGCCAGCCAGATCTGTGTAGGGATTGCAGGGGGGTGCAGCATCCGGAGGTTCCACCATGGTTTGGCTACTGGATGGTGTCTGTAATTTATCTGTGGAGAGGGTCTGGGTTTGGGTCTGGTGTGGTTGATTGGTGATGGCGTTCTGTGTGCCTCTGGATCTGGTGTCGGTTTTTGTGGGGAGGGCTAATTTCCAGATGTCTGGCAAGCGGGATGTGTCGTCACGCTTGTTCATGTTGTGAGGGTGTTTCTCTATCTCGATGGCTTCCATGATTATTCTCTTGTGGTGATGTTCCATGTTAAAGAGCAATTTGGAATCTGCAAAATTAATTTCGTGTCCTGTTTCTTTCATGTGTTGGAAAAGAGAGGAAGTTTTTTCCTCTTTTTTGACGGCATTCTTGTGTTCTGCGATACGTGCATTTATTCGTCTGTTTGTTTGTCCAATGTACGTGGCTGGGCAGACTTTGCAGGGTATTTCATAGACCCCTTGGTTTTCCAACTGGATTCTATCCTTGGGGTTTCTGAGGATATTGGCTATTTTTTGGTTGGTGCAAAAGGCTGTTTTGATATTGTGTTTATGGAGGATTTTGCTAATTTTATCTGTAGTGCCCTTGATGTAAGGAAGGAGGGCCATGCCATTGTTTTCTTCTGTGTCTTGGTTTTTGGGGGGTGTTTCTTTTTGGATTAGCTTCGTAACCCTGTTTTGCTGGTATCCATTGGCGATTAACACATTTGAGAGATTCTGTAACTCAGTTGTCAAGTGGTCTTTGTCAGCCAGGCGTTTGGTTCTGGAGATGAGAGTCTTGGCTACGGAGTTTATTTGTGCAGGGTGGTGGTGTGATTGTGCATGTAAGTAGCGGTTGGTGTGTGTTTTTTTCCGGTAGATAGTGTGTCCTAGGGAGCCATCAGGTTTTTTGTAGATTAGGACGTCAAGGAAGGGAAGTTGGTTGTTGGCTTCTATTTCCATAGTGAATTGTATTTTGGGGTGTAGGCTGTTGAGATGTGTGAGGAAGCTATCTAGTTTTTCCTTCCCGTGTGGCCAAATTACAAAGGTGTCGTCAACATATCTGAGCCAAAGTTTGGGTTTGTGTTCTGACTTGTCTAAAGCATTGGTTTCAAAGTGTTCCATGTACAGGTTTGCGATGACCGGTGAGAGGGGTGATCCCATAGGTGCTCCTTCTATCTGTTTGTATCTTTGTCCATTGTGGATGAAGTACGTGTTGGTTAGGCAGTGGTTGGTCAGGTCCAGGATGTATTCGGGGGGATTGTATTTGTTTTGAATGGCTGTCAAGGCTTCATTAATGGGCACTTGTGTGAAGAGAGATACAACATCGAAGCTCACAAGTAGGTCATTGGGATGTAGGTTTTGCTTCTTTATTGTTTCTATGAACTGGAAGGAGTTTGTAACGTGTGAAGAGATGGATTCTGCATAGGGCTGAAGTTGCTTAGCGAGAAATTTAGCGAGATTTTGTAGAGGTGAGCCTATGGAGCTGACTATTGGTCTGAGTGGTGTTCCTTCTTTGTGTATCTTGGGGAGGCCGTAGAGTTTGGGGCATCTGGATGATTTTTCTCTGGGGATGATTCTTAGCTGGATTTCTTCACTGATAGGAGAGGCTTTTATTTTGGATTTGGTGGTTTTTTCCAGATAGGTGGTGGGATCTGTTTTTATAGGTTGGTAGGTAGGGTCTTGGAGTAGATTTGATAGTTTTGCTTGGTAGTCCGATGTGTTCATCACAACAGTGGCATTACCTTTGTCTGCTGGGAGAATGATTATGTTGTTGTCTTTCCTCAGGTTGGTGAGTGCTTTCTGTTCTTCTTTGTGTAAATTGCTTCTGGGTGGTTTGCTGGAGCAGAGGATGTTGGTGACTTCAAGTCTGATTTTATTGGCTTCATCTGGGTTGATTTTGGTTAGGCTAGCTTCGACTCCGCATATGATGTTTTCCGTGGGGATGCGTCTCGGGGCGACTGCAAAGTTGAAACCTTTGGAGAGTACTTTGGTTTCAGTTGAGGTGAGGATCCTGTCTGATATGTTATGTACTGTTTGTTTCATGGGTTGTTGTGGAGGGTGGCTGGGCTTCTGGCGTTTCTCTAGTTTGTGGAGTTTGTTGGTGTGTGTGTTTGTCTTATGTGAGGTCTCAGTTTCAGCTCTCCAGACGGCTAGTTGTTTGCATTTGTCCCAGAGTGCAGGGTGGATTTTGTTACAGAGTTTGAGGTGAAGAGTGAGCAGATCTTTGTTGGTTTGGTTTAGTAGGTATCTTTTCTTATGTAGTTCGTTTCTGATTAGGGCTAGTTCAGTTCGTTTCAGGATCCTTTCGGTAGCTGGGGTTTTAGAGTGGAATTTAAGTTGGAAGCATGTGGGAATTAAGTTGTTGTCTCGGCAGTTGCGTAGGAACAAGAGATCACATAAGATGGTGGCTCTTCGGATTTCTAGTTTCTCGTAGGTTCTTGTCAGCTGGAAGGTTTCCTCCCCGTAGAGGTGAGATATTTGCTTTCGTAGATTTTCACGGGTACAGGAATGCAGGTTTTGGTGTCCTCGGGTGTCTTCCCGTGTAAAAGTTGGGGTGTCTAGGCGACGTTTCGACGAGGTCTCACTCGTCATCTTCAGGCTGGTGCTTTCGGCTTCTTGTTACTGGAACAGAGCAGGATCTCAGTGTTTGAGTTCCTATAAGTTCCTGTTGAGGAGGTATTATAGGAACTCAACTGAGATCCTGCTCTGTTCCAGTAACAAGAAGCCGAAAGCACCAGCCTGAAGATGACGAGTGAGACCTCGTCGAAACGTCGCCTAGACACCCCAACTTTTACACGGGAAGACACCCGAGGACACCAAAACCTGCATTCCTGTACCCGTGAAAATCTACGAAAGCAAATATCTCACCTCTACGGGGAGGAAACCTTCCAGCTGACAAGAACCTACGAGAAACTAGAAATCCGAAGAGCCACCATCTTATGTGATCTCTTGTTCCTACGCAACTGCCGAGACAACAACTTAATTCCCACATGCTTCCAACTTAAATTCCACTCTAAAACCCCAGCTACCGAAAGGATCCTGAAACGAACTGAACTATCCCTAATCAGAAACGAACTACATAAGAAAAGATACCTACTAAACCAAACCAACAAAGATCTGCTCACTCTTCACCTCAAACTCTGTAACAAAATCCACCCTGCACTCTGGGACAAATGCAAACAACTAGCCGTCTGGAGAGCTGAAACTGAGACCTCACATAAGACAAACACACACACCAACAAACTCCACAAACTAGAGAAACGCCAGAAGAAACGCCAGAAGCCCAGCCACCCTCCACAACGCCAGAAGAAACGCCAGAGAAACAACGCCAGAAGAAACGCCAGAAGCCCAGCCACCCTCCACAACAACCCATGAAACAAACAGTACATAACATATCAGACAGGATCAGACAGGATCAGACAGGATCAGACAGGATCCTCACCTCAACTGAAACCAAAGTACTCTCCAAAGGTTTCAACTTTGCAGTCGCCCCGAGACGCAATCCCCACGGAAAACATCATATGCGGAGTCGAAGCTAGCCCTAACCAAAATCAACCCAGATGAAGCCAATAAAATCAGACTTGAAGTCACCAACATCCTCTGCTCCAGCAAACCACCCAGAAGCAATTTACACAAAGAAGAACAGAAAGCACTCACCAACCTGAGGAAGGACAACAACATAATCATTCTCCCAGCAGACAAAGGTAAACACCAGATCCAGAGGCACACAGAACGCCATCACCAATCAACCACACCAGACCCAAACCCAGACCCTCTCCACAGATAAATTACAGACACCATCCAGTAGCCAAACCATGGTGGCACCTCCGGATGCTGCACCCCCCTGCAATCCCTACACAGATCTGGCTGGCACAAGCCACAAAACCACAGCTCGCCCCTATACACGAAGCCAAGCCAGAGCACAACTAAGTGCAGTACAGCCATCTTCTCAGAAAAACTCTTCACAAAGTTCAAGAGGTCAAGACACGAAGGCTTTAGCAACTAATCCACACCTAATGACCCACCTAAGTGGTACTCAAGATATCACTCAAGAAATCACTCAAGATATCCCTCAAGTAATTAAGGAACAAAAGAAGAAAAGGCACACTAGCCTGGGAACTTCCTCTCTGCCCAGAACATTGGAGGCTATACACCACACCTCCTCAACAGTATTTATAGGAACTCAAACACTAAGATCCTGCTCTGTTCCAGTAACAAGAAGCCGAAAGCACCAGCCTGAAGATGACGAGTGAGACCTCGTCGAAACGTCGCCTAGACACCCCAACTTTTACACGGGAAGACACCCGAGGACACCAAAACCTGCATTCCTGTACCCGTGAAAATCTACGAAAGCATATATATATATATTTATATGTAAATATAAATATATAAAATGGTGCTGTTAATGGGGAAAACATGAAGGAGGAGATGTGCCCAGTGGGGAATAAGAACTTTCAATAAACGTTTTAAACAAGACATCCCCAAAAGGCAAAAATAAGGATAAAATAGGCATGATATATCAGGGACAAGCTCCAGAAAACATAAATGTCCCTGGTAAATGGGAACAATTTGAGCATACCAGAAAATTTGAAGCCAAATGTAGTCTTGGTAAGTTACCACTGAGAATTCAATCTAGAATTTATGTTTAAGTAATAACTGGATCAGATCCTAAAAATTCAGTTCCAAAGGAGCATTCCTATGTCCAACCAAAGGTGTAGAATTTATGCCTGGTTTTGTATGAGTGCAAGCTATTCTTTATTCTAAACAGAAGTTATGTCACAATTTAGAAATGCATTTTGTCATAGCAATTTGTGATGTGTTTAGAATAAAACAAGCGAGACTCAAAGTAGGATAAACATTACACATAATGATGTGTTGTATTTTTCAAACACTGGTTTTAGTGCTACCAGCATGAAGACATGCAATGGACAATCCTTAAAATGTTGCTGTGGGGCTGCCAATCCAAAGTATACTTACTTGGAAGTGAGATGTACCTCTGAATGGGGCTACAGTTGGGCCCAATATATTTTGCGTCTCAAGCAGCTGCATTACACCATCCAAGAGGGGGCATCCCAGAATCCCACACACTGTCACATTGGACTGTGATTATTTTCAAACATTGTGTGCCCATGCATGTGTTTGCAGCATCCTTTGCTACAGAGTCTTGGGTACATCTCTTGGATCAATTGCCTTTTTGCTGCCCCAGAGTGAGAGACTGTGTTTCAAAGTTGCTTAATGCCAGTCTGTGTGAGAGACTGACCCAGTAGAGAGTACAGCTCTACCTGGGTGAGACACAGGGAGGGTGTGGTTATGCTGCTTATGTATATATTGTCCTAGTTAGAGTGGGAGAATGATTTGGTTTTATAGACGGACATTTGTTGTTCATAAATGGTTGGGTGAGGGGAAATGTGGGTGCAGCTTCTGTTTCAATTATTTTATGTAGTTGCCAGGGATGTTGCTTATTAGAGTTTGATTGTATTTTTGTATTTGTAATGGTTTTATGATTAAAAGGATATTTGTTTTTCTGTTAATCTATGCTGCTTAATTTTTTTTTTTTTTGTTTTAAATGCAACCTTCATCGGTAATGGTTTATTTTGATATTTGTAATGCTTTATTTGTTGTTTTGAAGTGGGGTTGTAAACTGCTTTGAGATTATAAATTTTAAATGTAAAGTGGTGTAGAAATGCTTTAAAATGAAGCAGCTTTATAGAAGCCCCTAAAAATGTTGCTGCTTGAAGAAGCCACTTGGATTTATTGGACAGCTGAGCCAATCCTGGGTGATTTTGCCTAACATTCGGGCCTAGCATAGCCCAGAAGAGAAGGCTGGGAGTAAATATGTGCCCATTTGCTTTGCACCTTCCAGTGGGCTAGCAGGAGGGAGAAAAACACGTGTTTAGCTTCAAGGTGTAGCAACTCAGTTTAGAGAGCAAGAGCCAAAAAAAGCACAAACTGTAAGGTCAAATTCAGTCCATGCTGTGTAAGAGTGTGTAGTCCGTATGTGTGGCTGCCATTGACTATAATGAAACTTGTGTAGACAAATTGTGAAAGCTGA